ACCCCGGAAGGCTAAACTGTTCACGCTATCTTCGCGAATTGCCCTCTGAGAAGGACACTGGAAGCTGAAATGCTGATCTGCCCAAACTATCCATCGGCCAGAGGCCGCGACAAGGTTCAGTGCTTCAATCATGCTTGGGCGCTGGAGGCTGTGATCCGACGTGGTCTGGCTGACGTTGGGGTTGACCTGGCGCAGAAATTGCAGATCAAGTGCAGATCGGAAGCAGCGTTTGTCGACCCATTTGCCGACCCTGTTAAGGGAGTTTCATAGACGCAGCTGCGTTAGCGCGGTGAAATTCGGAAACAAGAGGCTGCTTCAATCCAGGCAAAGCGTCTGGCAAAGCTGAAGCGCCACCGGTTGCAATTAACGTCTAGGTTTCAGTTCGAAGTTCTTTCTTTTAGAAAGAACCGACGTCTCTGCCCAGCTACCGATACCGACCTCTACATGCTCCCATGAACATAACTACTGCAATAGTATGGTGTTTGCTGTATGGATTTCGTCCAAAGGAAGGAAATGTGCATGTCTCCTGCATCTCCTGCCAGCGTTTCGTTTCACTGTGTCTGCACAGAACTGCCAGAGACAGCGCAAATAGCCTGCATAGCCGTGCATAGCCGTGCTCACTTCTTTGGTCGGGCAGCATGGCCGGCATGGGGCCCCCCCCATGTGCATCATGTGCTCCTCTGTGCTCTCCACGGCAGCGCCGCGGCGGCGATGCCGGAGATCGAGCTGGGCCCATGGACAAGGCTCTCTTTTTTTTGCTGGAGACGATTTTGGATCTCCCTTCCAATGTCGCGGGGAGGCCATGCTGGGTGTCAGAGAAGATGGCCTGGAGTCAGTGACATAGCCTTGCAGCATCTTGCTGCCATCGAAAGGCAGGGTACTGCACGCGTCTCCGAGGCTACTTCAGTCCATGCTTCCCCACGCGCGGGTAAATATTGCGCAGGGAGCTTGTCAACATACGTGACAGTTTTTTGTCAAGCAAGCTAAACGGCGGTCCAACGGCTTCTGAGTTTCTCGCACCCGTTTTCTTCCACCCGAGGCCTGGACAAGGTGCGAGTCAAAGCGCAAGCGTGGCCTGCTGAGCACCCTTGTTGTGTCAACCTGTTCGCGTCCTCGTCGATGAATCTCTTCTTGCTTCGGTAGCATGTGGCTCGCGCCACTTTCGTCCCAATTTGTTTGCTTCACATGTTGCCCCCATGCTCTGTCAATTTCAGGCAGCCGCTGCGGCACAAGGCACAGCTATTGCGAATGCAAGTGGGCTTTAGTTCCAGCCCGAAGCTGACTACTTTGAAGGCATTAGGCCTGGCCTGACGAGGGCGGCCTGTGGCGTGCCATTCATAGCTGGGATTTGCGATTAGCAGTGCAATGCAACAGCCGGAGTCTGGTTGACATCGTTGCAGCTTGGGTAGCCTTAGGTGTCACCAAACACCAATCCTTACGGCATGGGCCGCGGGCCAAGACTTCCTGTTCTCTGATCCTCGTGCTGTCGCAAGTTGACTCAGAGTTTGCTCTCGTTTGCCGTCTCTCTTTCTCTCTGGCACTTTTCTCCTTTTTTTTGCTTCGGTTCGAGTTTGCTCTCTCTGAGGCTCTCCAGCAGACCTTGCCGGCCTTGGCGAGCTAAATGCGGCCCTAGGCTTCCAAGAGTCGAACCACATGCTTAGCCACTGCTTTGCTTTTGCTTTTGCTTTTGGTTTTGCTTTTGGTTTTGCTCTCATTTTGCTCTGAAGGAGCACTAAACCCTCTTCAGAGAGGTTTGCCCCCGGAGCTTGCAGGCAGAGTTTTTTGTCATTGTCGAATTGTTGGTTTCCCGTACCGATGTGACAACCCTTTCGGTCCTGACAGCTCTGGCCGCCTCAGCAACAAAGTCGCCAGCTCCGCACACAGGTGGAGGCCGCGCAGCTTACTGGGCTGTTGGATGTGTTGATACGGGATAATCGGCTCGGGGTCGCTGGTATTTCCGACTTCTCGCTTACACCTCGTTCTGTCTCGTGCATGTCCCAGAACTGTGGCCTGACTGCTGCAGCCATACCTCTGTTGAGAAGCAGGAAAGAAAGACACACAGAAATAAAGACCTACAACAAAACGTGCAGAAAAATGTACCAGAAAGCAAAGAATAACACGCAAAAGACACACGGTGAGGGGGGGACCCGTGACCCCAAGCTCCTTTGCTATACCAAAGCCAAGCCATACGAGGCATGTTTACATCAGCCGAACTATGCCCACCCAAACCAAAACATGTTTTGAACATGTAAGGGTTTTGATAACATATGCTGGGATTCTGAACAAATATCATTGTTATTAGTACTATGGCTATTATCTTCTAGTACTTTTTGAACATTAATACTACTACTACTACTACTACTACTACTACTACTACTACTACTACTACTACTACTACTACTACTAGTAGGAATACTCGTAGTACTACTAGTATTACTAGTACTGCCAATACTGCTAGTCCTGCTAGTCCTGCTAGTCCTGCTAGTACTGCTAGTACTGCTACGAAGAGGGCGGGCAAACCGCAGCTTTGCACCGTACTATTAGTAGTGTTATTACTGCCAGTACTACTAGTACTACTGGTACTACTAGCACTACTAGTACTATTACTAAAGCTAGTACTACTAGTCCTACTAGGACGACTCGTACTACTAGTATTATAGTTCTACTAGACTACTAGTATGACTAGTACGAATAGGAGGACTAGTACTACTACGACAAGTGCATGCGAACATCAAAGATCATCGCGCCATCAGTTGACTTTCTTTCGCAACCTCCTAAATCCTCTCCAAACCTGCGGGAGGGGCGGCTGCGCTCCTCTCCCAGAACCCCCTCTCTCTTAGTCCATGAACAGAGGTGGTTCGACATTCCTTCACAACCCCCCCCCCCCCCCCTCCGCTCTTTCAGGCCGTGCAAACACAACTTGCTTCCAATAAAATAGGATTCGTATACGTATATGGGTTTTAGAAGGAGTTTTTATTGATTGCGCGGTACTGTACTCTTGGAAGCAAGCTTTGCGCAACTTCCTTCACGGGGGCTGGGGGCGGGGCAGCCCCAGTTGCAAACACAATGCTCGCATGATGGATGGGTTTGGAAAGGATTCATGAGGTTGCGTCCTTGATGGCGCGATATTGATTGGAACAAGCTTTGGTAGCATGGCTTGAATGAGGGCGGGGGGCATTTGCAAACACAATGCTCACTTGATGGTGTGTGCAGTTGAGAAATGCTGTGTTTGACAGCATCTGTGTTTGACAGCATGTGGGGCGGCGGCTGTATTGTTTCCACAGGCCGCCAAGTTTGCCATCAGCCACGGCTGTCAGGGATGGGGGTGTTTACGTTCCTTCTGGATATATCCAGCCAACCTTTCCGCACGGCTGCCTCGCTGAAGTGAGGCAAATGTTGACCTCTGAACTCATAGGTTCTGTGAAATCAGGTATTTGTGAATCTCTGAGTTTTTTCTTTACATTCTGTGAAGCCAGGCATTTGTGAGTCACCGAACTCATAACCGTCAACCCTACTCCCAACACGTTTCTGCAGTCTTTGTTGTGTGCGCCTGTTCAGCTTGTCCCTCACCTCTTTACGGTAGCATCTATTGTCCAATTTACCTGCATGTGGGGATTTTTGTGGGAGGTTGAAACATATGTTCCAGCCGGACCCTTTTCATGAGTTAGAGGAGCCCGCAACAGCAACCGCAGCATCAACATCAACAGCAGCAACTGACCTGAATACGCTTGGAAATCGGAGTCTCTCAACTGATCACACAACAGGCAGGATTACATGTTGGACCGTTGAGGTGAAGCGGCTACATGTGCCAATCCATGCAAGAATGTTTCTTACCCTATTGCAAGTCAGACAATGCCAAGGCCGCGAAGATTTTTATGGGTTTCTGCAGCTCCAGATATCAACCACTGCCAAATCTGAGGTAGTCTGATATTGTGTTTTGGAAGCGAGCTCTTTTTGCTTATGAGCGCGCTGGGAGCCGCTCGCCATGCAATAGGTTGGGCGCCTTCTCTTCGCCATGCTGGTCATGCCTGTTTGCCGGGGCCTGGTGGACGAAAGGGCGCACCAGCAACAAGAGATTGAGCAGAGAAGGCGACAACAATCTAGCAGCTTCAACGATCTGAGCCAGAGTCTTTTGGCACACAAGGTCCACAGCCTCAGATGATTTGCAGGTTCGCGCCTCATGGTGCTCATCAGAGCGGTTCACGCCTGTGTTTTTTGTTGAGGGCTTGCAGCCCCGACCTGGGCCCGACTACAGGCTTCGATCTCAGAAGTGGTTGGTTTTTCGTTCCGTTGACGTATGTTATCGGTTAAAGCTTAAGCTTTAAAACTTGTTGGGGTTGCATGGGTCGCACCAAAAGCTCCGAGAGACTTTAAGAGCAGGCTTTCGGGCCATCTGCAACCTGGAATGACCAGCGCAGGCTCGTCACATTCCAGTTTCGGGGAGAGTCACAGTCAGCTGGCGCAAATCGCAAGACTGATTAGGATCTGACCTGTCATTGTTCTGTAGTACTGCGGATGACTCTGGTGTCTTGCGAGGCTTTGGAGCCGCCGGCGAAGGACCGTCGCGATTGTTCATGATTCTTCAGATTCTTCATGCTTGTTCATGATTGTTCTCATCTCCGTTCATCTCCGTCCATATCTGTTCATGCTGTGCATCCTTTGCCTGCGGGCTGCGGGGCTTGGAGGGGGCTTGAGCCGAACTGCCAGGATGCAGCGGGTATCGAAATCAAAAAGGTGGCCAGGACGGCTTGGGCAGAGTTTGTCTACATGTGTCTGTCATCGTGTCGCGGGGGATCGAATGCTGAAAGCCACGATTGTGCCGGCTCTTGGTTTGAGCTAAGACCAGAACACGTGACTCAGCTGGCCCATTCAGATGCCTAGTATTGCCGAGTTCAACAGACTGCTGGTGTACAAGTGACCAGTATTTACCAGTCATCCCCCAGTTCTTTTGAATCAAGTTTCTTTGATGCTTCGCATTCGGACCTGGGCCGTACCGTCCCATGGAAGCCTGATCCTGAGTGCCTGAGTGCCACTGCCAACAGAATTCTGAACATTGGAGAGCATTTTGGAGAGGATCATGGAGATCGCATGGGGTCAGGTGCATGGAGCTTCTCCAGAAAGATCTCCGACAGCATCCTTGATCAGTTCTGATGACGGGCAGGTGGCTGCGGGTCTTGTGGGAGTGTGACTATCTGGGATTCTGGTGGCTTTGGAACTCTCTCTCTTAGCAAGTCCTGAGACAGTCACGGTTTAACATGTTGGTCCTGCTCGTTGCTCCCGCATAGATAGCAACAACGTGAACTTGCAGTGTTGCAGAATTATCGTTCTTTCCCATCTGATTTGTTGCGGCTTCGTTCTGGAACGTCGCCTCAAACACGGGATCTTCAAGCGTCGAGTTCGATTGCATGGTTACTCTAGTCCTGCGCGACTTGTAAACTGGAATCCAGCATGTGATGGCTTCATATTCAGCTGTTTCCTGCGGCTCTTTTTCCTTTCTCCGGATGATGGTTGTGCGTCTGCTATGTGATCAGTATTGTACTAAGACCTGGATCAATTTTCAGCGACCCGTGCCATGTGATGACCTTTCTCTTCCTTAGGTGCTTACCCCTTCTCATCGTTTCCGTCAGCCCTCGGGGCGACAAAGTGGTGGTGGGACTCATGCTTTGAGTTGGGCTCAACAGTCGTGTGGCTTGGTGGTACCTGAAGGGCTAGCCAAGCCCTGAAATATCACTGTAAAGCGGTACGGTGGGCTCTAGTTGAAGGATGTGAGCAAGTAATGTAGACGCCAGCTCTTAGTCCAATTGAATTGAACATACTGCTTTCGCTTTTTGTGGAGAGGGGAGGAGATGAGACTCCAACTGGTGCGTCCTAAGCCTTCTCAACCCTGATTCTATCTTTTGAACGAGAGCCCATGTCCTTTCTTCGTGATATACTGGGGTCTAGAGTGGATGCTTGTGGCGAATACTGGTTGGGAAAAGGTTCGAGGATCCATTGGATAGTGGGTTGGATTTGGGGAGTATTGGATTTCCAGTTTAATGACCTGAGCCGCAGAATTGAGAGTTTTGCTGCGTGGGCATGCCGCAGGGTGCGCAGGCAGACGCCAAGGACAGGCTTGTCCTCTTGAAGCTCTCACTACAGTACTATAGGCCTTGCTAAAGTCGGCTGTCAGGAGTCAGCTTGTCCGCGGTGTGGAGCAAATTTCACGACATACTTCAGGCCTCGCATGTGGTACAGTCGGTGTGGTGCATGAACCATTGCCCTCACAACACGCTAAAGTGCAGGCGCCATCACTGCCGACACTGTGGCGGCCTTGTTTGCGACGATTGCAGCAGGCCGAGAAACTGCAGACGCTTCTTCATGTCTTTAAGTAAAGAAAACATAAGAAAACGTCATCTCACACTCCAATGGTTTTCAGTCAATGGAGTGAAGGCATCGGACTCGAATACCTCAAGACCCTTCCCTGGGTAATGTCAAGTTCTCGGAGCCGCCAGCAAACACACTGTGAACACATTTCTTTTTTGGTATCCTCTGCCACTTCGTCACAGCTGAGGTGCGAGTCTGTGATGACTGCTTCAAGGTCATCGGCGACCACCACGTATTTGGGCGAGAACACTAGCATGCCTGACAAGCGAGGCAAAGAAGAGCGCCTGATATTCAAGCCGAGGCAGCTGGGCTGGAGGAGGACCTGGCCCTCAGTCGCCATCTTATTGATCAGCTGAAAGGCGGGAACACCCGTTTCTATTTCTGTCAACAGTGCCCAAGTACACGGCGTTGTGCCAGATGCACTGAAACAGAAGCACAACCAAAGTGAGGCCCGGACCACTCACTTCGTGATGACATCGCAGAAATGCTTCAACATGGCAACATCCCATGAAATGTTACTTCTAGAACTGTTCAGTCAAATCTTCGATCTGTGACTACAGTGAACGTTAGCAGGCTTTCAAAAAGGTAATGCTGGAGCTCGAAGCGGAAGCTGTTGGGAACAGAGAGCGGCTGGACCAGTCGGGTGCCCACGGTTTCAGGAGGTAGCGGGCCTTCACAGGCATTTGTCTCAGGCTTCAACATGCAGATTCTGCGAGATGTGTGAGGCATGCCCAGGACCCGGATAGTGACGATTTCTCCTTCAAGGTGTTGCAGGACAGAGCTTGCTTCTCAGCGTACTTCCAGCATTCCAGTATGTCTATGCGTAGATAGAGCATTTTGTGCGCAACCGAGGTGCAGCACTGTTGGGGTGACGTCTTGACCTCCTTGGAAGCACAAGGCAAATTAAAAGTCGTTCTCGAGGCCCTCGCATGCAAAGAGCAAAGAGATTAAGGGGCACATGGTGTGGTGGATTGTGGTGGGCAAAAGTCTGAGGAGCGTCAGAGGAATGGTCAAAAGCACCGAGAAGAGTTGATCTCGACGGAGGAGGCCGCCTGATATTGCAAAGCAGAACATCCGAAAGAGCAAGGAGCAGCATCAGCCAAGGAGATGAGCAGCAGGTACCAGCAGCTTGATGCGGAACTTGCTGAGGCCGGGTAGGCCTGGTAGGTCAGAGCATCTCGGATGGCGAGGCGTCTACAGTTTTGCGTCCAGGTGACGCGCATGGAAGCCAAGCGGGATGAGCTCTTCCGGCTTGAGGTTCGACAGATCTGGATTCGCGTGTTCAAATTCAAATCACACAAAGTTACCCATAGCGAGAGAGACAGAGACAGAGACACAGACAGAGACAGAGACAAGAGACAGAGACAGAGACGGAGACAGAGACAGAGACACAGACACAGACGTAGACACAGACGGAGACAGAGACGGAGACGGAGACACAGACACAGACACAGACACAGACACAGACACAGACACAGACACAGACACAGACACAGACACAGACACAGACACAGAAACGGAGAGACAGAGCGCCTCGGCAAGGGAGAGCTGGAGCGCGCGGTCGGCGCCGAGCCGGACCCTGAAGAGTGACAACCCTCTGACAATGCTTAAGAATGCATCTTGTCAATGCACACGATTGCACACTCTGCTTCGCTGCTTCTGCACCTTGAACTCTCCCAGGCGGCGGCGCGTTCGTGAACTTGAACTTGGGCGGCAGGCCTCGCCACCGAGCGAGCGTGTCCGGAGAACTGGCAGTTGGCCATCGTTGCGAGTGACTTGAGAGGCCCAGCAGGAACTGGAGGCAGAACGGATCAGTATCTGGCCCAGTCATGGTCAACCTCAATCTCAGTCAGTTTCTACCTCAGTGCATCTGGTATTCGTATGTATTCGTGGTCAAACAGGCCAAAGACTCGGGTGGGGTTCACGCCCGCCCTTGGCTCAGCTTCCTTTTCTCGTATTTTGTCGTGTACCTTCCTCGCATGTGTGGCAGTGTCGACTTCTTGAGGCTGAGATCCACTGAGCCTGTAGCATTCACGATCTCAACTGGCCGGCAGGAGCCACTTGTAGAGCAAGACGAAAACCCACTTTCCATGTCAGCGTACATCATGAAATTGGGAGCCACTACATTGACAGCTGCAATAGGAACAGAGCCAGAATCGCCTCGATGGGTGCCGGAGGCGGTTGTGTGCGAGAGATCTTGTAGTGTATGCTGTTTCCCGGTAGATGGTCAGTTGGGGAACCAGTCCGTGTCAGGTCTTGCACGGTCAGCTGAAGGGCCTGACGAAGTGAGGTAGCTGCTGCTCAAGCCTTGAGCTGCCTGCAAGCTTTGCTTCACGCAGTCAGTGCCAAGCGTGCAAGAAAAGATAGCTGCTGTCCGTCATGGGATCACTGTGCCAAGGGAGTTGCGTCGCGGGCTGTGTTAGAGTTGTGTCATTGCCGAGAGCTTCTACCTTTGAGGACAGACACAAGGGCAAAGGTCGTTACAAGGCTGGTTGCCCGGTGGACTTACGATGTACTTGTTGTTGCAGTACAGACTGCCAGCTGAGTCGGATGGCGTTTTCCACGGTGTGTTCGCTGCGTGCGTATTTCTGAGGGCTAAATCTTGGTCACGTGATCGCGCCGAGCCTCTTGCTGGCGATTTTCGCTCTAGCTTGATTTCGATTCTTCTCGATGACGCGGCTTGTGGCACGACTTTATAGCTCAAAAATGCCCGATGAGACCTAATGTCGTACCAGAGTATACAGCAAAAGGTACAGTTGCAAGTTGCAAGCTGCAGCCTTCAGACCTTGATAGCAGGCATTTTCCGCAGAACAGCTTGAAACAAAGCTGCTCTGCAGTTGAAGGGGTATTGCCTTGTATGTATGTCCAGCAACCATGTGTTCATGTCAGAGGAAATACCCAGAACCTGGTCCAGTTTTGTGCTGAACACAAAAAGCCGTTATGAGCCTGCTATCTCGACTTCTCCGGTGGTTTCAATTTTTGCGAGTAGAACCTCGTGAGTGCCAAATCTGTGCACGCCTGTGTAATCCTGTGTACAACTTCTGCGCCCCGTGAGTTGGGCGCTTCAAAGCATTAGTCCGGTCGCGGCACATTTGATTAACGGCGGCTGAGATCATGAGAGATCGGAGGGTGAGTGTTATGGCTAGTGAGCGGCTAGTGAGCGGCTAGTGAGAGAAGTCTAAACGAGCCCAAGCCTATGTAGGTTATTGTAGGTGCAGCTTTGTTAATGTTCAAATTTTACCAGAACGTGACTCCTGCCATTTGCATCACCGGCATGCGCTGTGCCGGCTTGAGCCAGGAGCTACAGTTGCCATTAACAGATACTAGCAGAGTTTCACAGACTAGTTATCCGAACACTCGCAGGCTGCCTTGCCAGTCGTTAAACAAGGGCACGTCTCGAACTGCGGCGCGACTTCTTTCTGCAGCTGAGTTGCCCAATGGCCCAATGTGTGAACATCTTGGAGCCAACGCAATGAAGCGAATTTGCTCACGCCATGCCATTTTTGGCTCAAACAAGGCAGGGGCTGAAGCTGCCCCTGCAAAAATCTGGCAAGCACCCTGCTGGCACGCTGCTGTGATCTGTGTGTGGTGCTGTGCAATGATATGCATGGCTGTGCAATGATATGCATGGCGTACTTTGTGGTGACACTTCAGGTGTGGGCTTTGCTACACAGCAGCGGCAATCTGCCTGCGACGTCGAACAGCCCTCGGTTGGTGTCTTGAGCGGGGCTCCATTTCAGCCAGCGAGACAGTTTGTGTCCAGTGGGCGAGGAGGAGTCAGACGCGCTATTGCAGTGGGAACTTGAAGCAGTGACTGGCTTTGCAGGAGGTAAGCGGAACTTTGCCTTTATGTTGCCTAGCATGTCACCATAGTGAGGCCATGCAGCGGACGAGACCTTTTACGCAGCAGCGAATCTATGGTGCGGATGTAGCGGGAGATGAAGGGAAGCTGTAGTTGGCTCCTTTGCCGGCCCTTTGCCAGCTTTGCCTCTGCAACATTTGGAGGCATGGGCTTCATTGTCATAGTGCTGATGATCATTTTTGGCATCCTGGCAAGAGAAAGTTGACAAAATAAGCTGCGTTGCACACTGTCACGATGAACCTGGGATGAACTGAAGGTATACATTCGGCGTTTGTCTTTGTGGCCGGTGCCCAAGTCTAGCAGACGGTCTGAAGGGAAATGAAAAAGAAACTCTTAATAAACGGTGACCTTGCCACGGTGGCATTGCCACGGTGGCCTGCTGAGGTCTGGGGCCCCAAGCTGTGGGTGCGAGACCTGCCCTTTGCTGACCTCTGCCCGCAGCTTTTGCAGTGCTGAATCGGTGTTGAACAAAAGTTGCAGTACAGAAGGTGGGCTGCCTGTAAGGTTTTGGCTCAAGGCCTTCCGGAAGCCCTGCAAAGACTGCTGGGCTCGTCTCACGCTTGTGGCAAAACTGCTGCTCTCAGAACTCAAGCAATGCTACAAAGCCTACACGGAATCGCCCCGATCTAGTCATTATGCAAGCTTTTAATTTAACTTCAAGCTTTGCACTCCTCGGGTCGGCGACAAGAGGCCAGCCGCAAAGGCACGGCGAGGTGGACATGAGTCGCGAACAACAGCATGTCTGACAGGTGCAATGGCACCACCTCCGTTCCGCCCTGCTCTCAGCTTCGGTGTTGTGCCGTGGCCCGTTCATTCATTGAGAACATGCCAACTTAACTCATGCTAACTCGCAGGTTTCTCTTTGCCGATGCAGGCCTGGGAGGCCAGCTCTCAGACTCTGAGAGTTTCTTAGGCTGATCGACATGACCGCAGGCTGTGGACTGCAACATGCTGCAAGACTGCTGCAAGCATTGCTCAGGCTCCACCGTCACCCTCGGCCCAGCCTGAGGTGAGAACAACGGCAGAAAGTGGGTTAGCTGCTCTTAGCTGACCTGGGAGGACTATCCCGAGGAAGTGCGAGACATACTGCATGAAATACAGGCCATAGCCAGAGTTCAGCTCTCGTGTCAGAATTGCATTTGCTCCCACAGCAGCCTTGCAAGGGCTATGTCTTCACCCGACGTATTCGGGCAAAGGCGGTAGACCGGTAGAGAGTGAAAAAGCAGTTGGTGCTTCTCGCACGTCCATGAGTCCATGACATGACAGGACTTCTTCTTGGATTTCGATCCACTACGATGTGGCCGATGCAGTCCTCATCAGTTTGTGCGTGGATTGAATGCCATCGTTTTCGGCTCAGACCACTCTGCTGAGAAGATTCGATGTCGTGACAGGTTGCACATTGGTGTTTGCATGATTGATTGCTGGCTTTGCTCACGCTCAGCAGAGGTTCCAAATCTACGGGCAGAACAGATGCGAGTTCTCACGGTTTTCGGCTCAGCTTTGTCCCGCTGCCATCCGCTGCCTTTTCTTGTCACGTTTTGAGGAGTCCAGAAGTCTAAACTGCCGAGACCCAGTAGTGCCTTCAGGACTTCTTCACGGATCCGGCACAAGATGCCATGAAGCCGCAGGTGGCATCCAATCCTTGAGAACATCCAAGAACGTCCAAGAGTCTTCAATGTATTTCAATGTTCCCCTCAGGTTGTTCGCCACCTCGACTTTCTCCGTGCAGTGGACGCAGTGTTCGGGGTACGCTCCCGTGCGGGAATGTCATGATGTGCAGCGCCAGCGGCCGTGACTGGGAGGCTTCAGAGCTGGAAAAGCAACCAGCTGTGAAGGTGCCCAGGCGCAAGCTCCTGAAGTCATCAGTCAGAATATCCGGGATACTCGAGTGCAGGCCTGGACATTGTTTGAAGAAGCATGGTCAAGACATTAGCCCCTGCGATGACGAGGCTCGGGGTGATTCTGGGTGGGGAAAGAGCATGTGTCCGATAAGCGAGCAATGCGTCAGACCTCATCAGACTACACATGCAGCACCAGTCTTCAAACTTACTCCGTGAGGTCGCTGTCGAACAGACACTGCGACGGCTTGCCCTACTCGTGAAGACCCGTGGAGCCGCTTAACTGGCTTAACTCTCCCTTCAAGTCGCTTCATTGATTCTCAGTGTAAATATTTGTAGCCTTGGTGTCATCTTGTGTCCGTTGAGGCTTTGAGCAGGTCTTGCATTCTGGTCGGTGCTGTTCAATAAGCCGAAGCACGAGATCCCTTTGAGCCCAGCTCAGGTGATCTTTTCGAAGTGCTTTCAGGAGCCGTCAGAATCATGTTTGCAAAAATCTTGCAGACGTTCTGCTCGAGCGCTGATGAATCTGCAGGACTCGGAACGATCTCTGGATACATCACTCCTTTGCCCTCGATTCGCGGGGAAGGTGACATGAGAGCTTATATATATTTAATGGCTACCGCCAATGCCGCCGACCCCGACAGGAGGCCCTAGGGTTTACACAAACACCCCCTACATTGCGCTTACATATATCCATAGGTTCTAGAGTTCAGGGGGGGCGAAACATTGAGTCTTCACGCGCAGGGAGTTGGCGCGCAACCTTAAACCCTAAACCTCACACCTTAAACTCGAAACCCTGAACCCTTAAACCCCAAACTACTAAACCCTCAACCCCCTTAACCAGGAGAGCCGAACCGGGGTGAGGTGGGGGGTAAGCGGTGATGGCGGGGGGGTGGGGGGGGTTGGGGGCAGAGGTGAAGGGGTGAAGGCGGGGCGGGGCGGGGTGGGCGGGGTGGGCGGGGGGGGGCGGGGGGGGTCCGGGCATGCACTGCAGCCCCTCAAAAACTTCATTTCCAAGCAAAAGGCAAGGGGTAGGGGTGAGGTGGGGGGTAGGGGTCCGGGCATGCCCTAAACCCCTGACACACTTCATTTCCAAGTAAAAGGTCAGGGGTAGGGGTGAGGTGGGGGGTAAGGGGTGAGGGCGGGGGGGTGGGGGGGGCAGGGGCCAAGGTTGGGGGCAGAGGCGAAGGGGTGAGAAGGGGTGAGGCGGGGCGGGGTGGGCGGGGTGGGCGGGGGGGGTCCGGGCATGCACTGGAGCCCCTCAAACACTTCATTTCCAAGTCAAAGGCAAGGGGTAGGGGTGAGGGGTAGGGGTCCGGGCATGCCCTAAACCCCTGACACACAAAGGTCAGGGTAGGGGTGAGGTGGGTCCGGGCATGCACTGGAGCCCCTCAACTTCATTTCCAAGCAAAAAGGCAAGGGGTAGGGGTGAGGTGGGGGGTAGGGGTCCGGGCATGCCCTAAACCCCTGACACACTTCATTTCCAAGTAAAAGGTCAGGGGCAGGGGTGAGGTGGGGGGTAAGGGGTGAGGGCGGGGGGGGTGGGGGGTGGGGGCGGTGGGCGGGTGGGCGGGGGGGGGGGGGGCGGGGGGGGGGGGGGGGGGGGGGGGGGGCGGGGGGGGGGCTGCACTGGAGCCCCTAAAACAGCGCTGGAGCCCCTAACAGGGTAAGGGTGAGGTCGAGGGGGTGAGGGCGGGGGGGTTTGGGCATGAGGGCAAATGGGTCTTCACTGACGCCTCCCCCGCTAAAGCAGGGGTCGGCGGATATATGTGCATAGAGTACGTATTCTGTGAATATATCTGTATACGCATATACTAGCTATTATTTTGCTTGCCTCGTATGGTACCGAGCAAGATTCCTGCTGTAAACCAGTGTGAGAGCTTGTCTGTCACCCATCAGAAGCCACACAAGAGTGGAGCTATGTAGTTTTGTGCGACATCTGGAGCTTTGAAATGGGGGTTGGCAGGTCACGGAGGCACAGTTCTGCAGCCACTTCCCTTTCATGCAGGCAAGCGGTGCGCTTTTGCGTAGGTGCTTGTGTCCTTGTATGTCCTTATCATTGGGGAGCAGCCACCTTTCGCTCTTGTCGCCGTGCCACCTCTTGTGCGACACGTCCTGGCCAGGACATCTCAGAACACGAGCTGAACCTATTGCTACAGCGATACTACAATGCTGATACCGGTGGTATTAGTTACGTGGCTCTCGCCCCAGCGTCACTGTGGCAACCATCGGAAGCTTTGCACAATCCAGCCTCAAGGCACTGGACAAAGAAATCCAGTCTCTCATAGACGAGCCGTGCCAAGGGAGGTGCTCTGCCATTAAGCTTGCATACGGACTGCATTCAAACCTTGTTTTGCCATGTTCTGCCAGTGTGCTGTCGCAAAGCACTCGCAGTCCGATGTCTGCGTCGATGCCTTGGCCTACATGTGCAAGGGTTTTGCAGAGTGCTGCAAGCACGTAACAACGGAGGTAGCCCTTGAAAAATCTTGAAAAGGTCTGTGTTCTAAATGAGCGAGCAAGAACTGGCTCAGAGGCGTCAGTGGGCCGGGCCAGCCACGTGGAGTGGCCGAGAGCCCATGCGAGTGGCAGCCGGCCAGGAGTGTTCTTTTGCATGTTTGCGCATGCGTGTTTCTTGACTACTAGCTCAGACACGATCCCGCCACGAGCATCCACGAGCCATGAGTTACAACAGCATGACCCCCCACTCACTGAACGACATTGTAGCTGGCCTCACATGGCCCTTCCTGGTCTTCCCCAAGTTCTCAGTTCTGCCAGCTATCAAAACAGCTGTTTCATTTGTGTCCCTGAACAGCTCTAACCTTTCTGTATGTAGTCACATGATGTGGGGAACCACAACGCCTGCCATCATTTTGCCCTTCTGCAAGTGGAGTCGTGACTAAGAACGATCATGCAGGTATTGCAAGGAGTGGCTGTGATTTTGCAAAGTATGGGCTTTGAGGATCAGGAGCAGCTTGATGCAGAGCTTCTCGCCCGACTCAAGGCTGCGTGAGGCAGATCGGAGCATCTACAGCTGTGGCTGACGAATGCAGGCCGAGATCGCCTCCCGGCGCCTCCGACTCCATGGAAGCTTTCAGGCTCCCAACATGTGCTCGACCATATGCTAACTTTTTGCTGTCATATGTGCCGACTGTCTGCGCAGCAATATCCTCCCGTCTCTTCCCCTTTTTTGCAGGAAGTGGACCGCCTGCGTCGCGGTGCAGTGAGCATGGGGCAGGCAGGGACATTCAGTCAATTCTCGCACATGTTCACAGACTTTGCATTGCATTTTGAGGCGAGAACTGTCTTCACCATTCTTCGAATCGAGCTCGATTCCAAGGATACCAAGCGAGCGGCAGCATTTACGAACCCTTACGCATCCTTACGCGGCGTGTACTATTGAGTAGATTGTGACAGCGGGGACAGTTACAGCGAGGCGCACATCAGAGCACGTCAGAGCATATCAGAGAACCCCTTGTCAGTGCGTGTCAGAGCTCTGTGCAGGAGCTGGAGATGCTGCAGCGGATCTTTAATCTCAACGGACTGGTGCTCAGTGAAGTGGAGTTGCGTAGCCGACGAGGAAGTCTCTGAGGCCTCTTCAACTACAAGCAGTTCTGCAATGCCATCCTTGAGGTGCCTCTCGGGAGGCGCACTAACCCCCCAATTTTTGCTAGACACTTGGGATGTTCAGGTACCATTGAACACGGATGATGCGGATGATCTTTGCCCGACTCCGGTCACGAAGGTGAGCCAGTCTGCGCCATACATGTATACAGCTGTATACATGTACGTTCGCATCTCGAGTATGGAGAGATGTTGTCGTGGTTTCCTTTGATCAGGGATCGGCCTTCCTCAAGAAGTCCGAGTCCATGTCCCAGAAACACAGCGAGTGCTGAGCCATGCTTACTATTCCTTGACACCTCGAGAGCCATTGAAGGCCATTGAAAGAGAATTGAAAGCCCGGAGTCTTGGGAGCTTAGGCGTGTGAGGGTACGACACCACTTGCAGCCTGATGCGGAGGATCAAATTTTCTACAAATTGCCTGTTGCCAGTCCGCTGCTGGTGCATGCTGTATCAAGCATTGTGCTCTGGCAAATGACAGGAATTGCTAGCTGAAGCGGAGCTCCGAACTCGGTAAACTCATGCGGGTTTTGCGGGTTTTGCGGTTTTGCGTGTAACCGCATGCACAAATCCGAGCGGAGCAGGCGCTTTTGGCAAACCTGCTGAGGCTTTGGGTTGCTCGCCGGGCGGAGCATTCTACCATCAATGCTCCTTGTCTGCAGTCCCTAAGGACACAAAGGCCATCAAAGGCCGGAAGGCTTTGAAATGCTTGGACCTTTGAGGGCGCGGACTTTGCAGGTGAAGTCCCACTTCTTGGACTTCGACAGGCTTCGGTGTGGCCGTGTGAGCCGCAGTCAGTGCAGCCCGCGCGCTTCACTTCCTGCGTGTGCTTGACTTGTGAGTGACCGCCATGATGCATGCCTTTTTGTTGTCGCATGTTGTCGCACAGGACGCCACTCAGGTTCGGGTAGCCATGCTTGAGCCCTTGATGCATAAACGTTTTGGAGACGGCACCCTCAGGAGGAAGGAATTCACGCAAGTAGATTTTATGGGTAGCGTGCTGTCGTTTTGCATCATGTTGCATACAGTGGTCAGATGACTCAGACGGGCTGCAGAAACGAAGCAACGTCGTGACGCAGCTCTCGGAGGAGACTCGCTGTGACTCCCTTAAAGATACCTTAAAGTGACCCAAAGCTAGTCGAAAAATTGAGCGGATGCGGTCGAGAGCTCTGTGAGCCATGGCTCGCCTCCACATGCGATCCTTCGTTCTTCGAGCGCACACCACCTCAGCTGCTAAGAGGTCCGAGTCGACCCTCTCAAAATTGAGCACCCTGCGCCAAATGAGGTCATGGTGTTGATTGAGGGACGCCGCCGGGATCCGTGTCTTGGCATATCTAAGCAGTAGCACGAAGTGGTAGTCGCGAAGTCGTTCTCTGAGGCAAGCACCAGCCCCAGGCCAAAAGAGGCCTTGGGCCGCGACCAATCTTGTCAGTTGCACAACGGTGTGCAACGGTGTGCATGTGGCAGGCCAGCAGAAGATGCATCACTACAGGACCGCCCACTCAACGGCTTTCACGCCATAACCAAATGCCACAAATCCCTCACATACTGGTTCCATGCGTGTTGGTTTTGTGAGTTCAATTGACAATTTGACAATCCTTTTATATCCGTTTCTTGGTGGAGGCCAACAAGCAGCCTCGGAGCGGTGAGGCACCGGGTGAGACAGTGGCAGGAAACCCAGAAGGGCGGGAGCACTGGAGAGCAAGTGCGGAAAGAACGAGAGATGCAAGAGATCCGGGTTCAGAATGCGCTACAAGTTTAAAACGCATGTCGCCCGCAGAGGCTCCGACAGCGTTGGGACCTGGCGGATTGCCCGGGCAAGCTTGGCAGACTGTGCAGAGCATCCCCGCGCTCGTGACTGCAGCACCTCCACCGCCCATCGCACCAAACCCACAGGCAGCCGCCATATTAGCAACTCTGCAAAATGCCGCGACTGCACCAGCACAGAACCCCCAAACGGCTGCACTGGTAGCAGCCTTGGCAGCACAGAACCCAGCCAACTCTGCACAAGCCCCACCACCAAATCCACAAGCCCTTGCCATTCTCAGTGCCCTGGGTGGAGCCGGTGCTGCAGCAGGCACCGCAGCAGGCGGCACAGCCCCTGCGCCATCCTCCCTATCACCACAAGCCCAAGCAGTCATCGCTGCTCTCGTCGCAGCCAAATCGTCGGCTCCTCCCACATTACCAGCCTCATCACCATTGCTTGGGCTGGCTCAGGCAACAACTCCCGGCGCGACTGCAGCCCCTGCGACAGCATCTGGCCAAATCGACAACTCTGCACAAGCCCCACCACCAAATCCACAAGCCCTTGCCATTCTGAGTGCTCTGGGTGGAGCCGGTGCTGCAGCAGGCACCGCAGCAGGTGGCGCAGCCCCTGCGCCGTCTTCCCTATCACCACAAGCCCAAGCAGTCATCGCTGCTCTCGTCGCAGCCAAATCGTCGGCTCCTGCGACATTACCAGCCTCATCACCATTGCTTGGGCTGGCTCCGACAACAACACCCGGTGCGACAGCAGCCCCTGCGAATGCTTCTGGCCAAATCGATATCATCGCACACTTGGCAGCGTCGGCGCGCATCAATGCGGCCATGAACGCAGCCTACTCACCGCCAGAAGAGCAGCAGCCAGCTCCTGTAGCACCGGAGCCAGCGGCTTTTGACAAGGACGCCTTACGCCGCTTGGCGCAGCGAGCAGCAGAGGGTCCCATCGAAGATGAGCCTCCGCCCCCGCCACCACCCGAATCGGCGGCAAAGGTTGCAATCCCTGTCACCTTCTCAGTTGAACATGTTGAACCCAGCCTGTTTCAATTTTCAACATGGGTCGTGTAGTACGCATCATGCGCATCGCCTTCGACCAGTTCGCCCAGGAAGTGGAGCAGGGACAGGACGTGGAAGAGCCTGCCGCTCGCGGCTCAGAACGCCGAGTGGTAGATTCCAGAATCTGTATTGAGCGGGTTCATGTTTGAAGTAAGAGTCTGGAGGCTGCGCCCGATGCAGCTTCTGATGCCACCAATGTCCGGGACAAAGTTCTGAAGTGCAGCTGCTCTGTGCTATGTTGACACAGTCCTTGTCACATGTTTTTAAACGTGTTTGTTTGCAACATGATTTCGGCCAAGGCCATGGTGCAGCCAGCTCCGATCCAGGCACTTTTCTGTGCACATTGTGCGCGCGCACACACAGACACAGAAACACATTGAGATGCAATATGAGATCCGAAAGGTAGCTAGAGCTCATAAAGATCTCAGAAACAGACGAGACTGAGTCTTAAATCACGCTTTGCGTGCTTCTACAGTGGAGAGCTGGGCTCGACACTTGCGAGGTGGACTACATATACCATATACTACATTGTTACTACATCCTTTCTAAAGGTATTTGCATTCCTATTCTGCCGAATGAGTTTGTTCTCTTCATCGCAGTCTTGTCGGAGCTGCATTTCCTTCGTCACACCGCCTCGAAAGACAACGGCATTCTGCCGCCAATCAGTCCGGAGCCGCTGCCCGCGATACCACGAAAGGGTCTTGAGAATAGTGATACTGCGCGTGATGCTGCGTGTTTGGTACGTTATCCCCGGCTCGGCTTTCCAGTCCTGCAATGTTCGTTATGTTTATTCAGCATTGTTATTATTTGTTTTGCTTGTTTTTGGTCCGTATGGAGTTTAAGTCCCTTGTTTTCCTTCCAACGGTCGATAGATCTATAGGTTGTCGCGCAGGTGCGGATAGCTTGTGGAGAGCCCTGATGGTGAAATCATAGCAATGCGCCAGAGAGCAGACAGTTTGGTTTCACCCTTCCAAGGAGAAGCGCCACACACAGGGCCGGGTGCGGACGCCCGGCACTCCGGCCCCAAGCCCCAAGAAAGAAAGCCAGAAAGAGAGAGAGAGAGAGAGAGAGAGAGAGAAATCACAAAAGTCTCACGAGACGCGGGAGCGGGGCGCGCCTTGGCGCAGGGTCCATCCCTATGCCCCAAAGCAAAGCAAAGCAAAAGAGAGAGAAAAAAGAGAGAGAGAGAGAGAGGGAGCGAGAGAGCAAGCCCCGTAGAAGAAGAAGAAGAAGAAGAAGAAGAAGAAGAAGAAGAAGGAGCGAGAGAAAGAGAGGGAGCGAGAGAGAGACAGAAATAAATAAATAAAGAACGAAAGAAAAACGAAAGAACGAAAGAACGGATTCGGAAAGAAAGAAAGACATAAAGAGAGAAATGCAGAAAGAAAGAAAGAAAGAACAAAAAGAGAGAACGAAAGAAAGAAAGACAAAAAGAACGAAAGAAATAAATACAGAAAGACTGAAAGAAAGAAATCAGTACATAAATACATGATAAAGAAAAAGAAAGAAAAAGAAAGGAAAAGGAAAGCGCAATAAATAACAAAAAAAGAGAAATAATAAAACAAAAATCAACTATGCAAAGAGAGAGAGAGAGAGAGAGAGAGAGAGAAAGAGAGAGAGAGAGAGAGAGAGAGAGAAAGGGAGAGAAACAGAGAAGGAGAGAAAAAGAGAGGGATAGAAGGAGAGAAGGAGAGAAGGAGGAGAAGGAGGAGAAGGAGGAGAAGGAGGAGACGGAAGAGAAGGAGGAGAAGGAGGAGAAGGAGGAGGAGGAGAAGGAGGAGAAGGAGGAGAAGGAGGAGAAGGAGGAGAAGGAGGAGAAGGAGGAGAAGGAGGAGAAGGAGGAGAAGGAGGAGAAGGAGGAGAAGGAGGAGGAGGAGGAGAAGGAGGAGAAGGAGGAGAAGGAGGAGGAGGAGGAGAAGGAGGAGGAGGAGGAGGTGGAGGAGAGGAGGAGGAGAAGAAGGAAGGAGAAGAAGGAAGGAGAAGAAGGAAGGAGAAGAAGGAAGGAGAAGAAGGAAGGAGAAGAAGGAAGGAGAAGAAGGAAGGAGAAGAAGGAAGGAGAAGAAGGAAGGAGAAGAAGGAAAGAAGAGAAGAAGGAAGGCGAAGAAGGAAGGATAAGAAAGAAGGAGAAGAAGGAAGGAGAAGAAGGAAGGAGAAGAAGGAAGGAGAAGAAGGAAGGAGAAGAAGGAAGGAGAAGAAGGAAGGAGAAGAAGGAAGGAGAAGAAGGAAAAAGAAGAAGGAGAATAAGGAGAAAGAGAGAACGAAATAACGAATCACAGAAAGAAATAAATAAAGAAGGAACGAAAGAAATAAAGAAAGCCAGAAAGACAGAAAGAAAGAACGAACGAAAGAACGAACGAACACACGAAAGAAAGAAAGCAAGAAAGAAGGAAGGAATGAAGAAAGAAAGAGAAGGAGCGAAAGCACCAGCGTGCCCCATACGGGGGGGCCACACAGCATGCTCGTAAGGGCAGGTTTGTATTTCGGTGTTTTCCCGATTGCACCCACCCGGCACGCCTTGGAGCGCGGAAGGGAGTTATCGCCCTCCCGTTAAGCAGAAGAGAGCATGACAACCGGCACCCCCAAAAATTAAGAGAATGAAGGTTTGAAAAGGAGAATTTACAGATTTCCCGATATTTGTTCGGGACTGGTCATTTTTTTGTCAGTTCTGTTGCGGATGTGGCAGGAAGATGATGCGAATGGTATGGAGCTCAATCTTGTCAGTTGAGTTCGGAATACTGCAGGTAGAACCTCATAGTGCCGCAATCGACCGCCACCGAAACGCCCACAAGCCGATGGTATCCCCTGGTCATTGATCACCACAGCACTATCCAATCAGCACAACAGTGCGTGAGGTGCAGCACCGGCGACCTCGGCAGAGGCACATCTGGAAGAGCTTGCCGTTCAACCGGCACATGCAAGTCTTGAGGCAGAGGCGAAGAAGAAGGATTCTTCTTCCATTGCCACAATGCTCAGCTACGTCTCGGACTCGTTTCAGGGCAGGATCGCAGATGTGCCAGTCTAAAAACTGGTTTTGCGAGCTTCCTTTCCGCTTAGGCGCAAAGCAATGTTGCCAAAGGCAAGGTGCCAGCAGATAAAAGTGTGGACACTGCCTCATTGCAGCAGGCACCATCTGAGTGCTGCATCAGTATGAAGCTTGTCTTGCACCATGGGGACCATGGGGACCATGGGGTGTCAGATGCAAGAGGCTTTCACCATCGGAGGCGGAGCAAGTGGCCATGCCTCGACTGGCTTGAAGGGGCGGCCTAAATGCAGTCATGGACTAAGCAGCATCTGCCACTGTCTGCCAGCCGTCTTTTAGGTTGTCGCCGGTGGAGAGCCTTTCTCAGAGACTTGATTCGGCAGGCCGGGAAGAAACATGCGTGCAAATGAGCCTTATCCATCTCACAGCCAGCCCCAGATGAAGAGTGCGCGCATTTTGAGCTGACTTGCGGGGTCCGGCTGCAAGTGTCGTTGTGTGTGTCTTGGTTCACCTTGGATATCTTCGGATGTTGAATAGAACGGTGTCGATTGGTGTGCTCGGTGGCCGAGCGGCTTACCGGCGCAGACGGCATCAGACGAACATTCGTCGCGTTTAGAATATCTCTGGTCCTGCGGCATCAGTGTTTTTTCTTTCGTCGGACAAAGTCTGCATGAAGTGCTCTGTGACCCTCGCTGGAGAACGATGTCAGCATTCTGCGGCAAACTGAACTTCTCTCGAGAAACTAATGCTGTCTTAGCCGATGCACGTCGCAAATTTGAGCTGTGGCTGCGATCGCAACCATGAGAGATGCGTACGCTAGTCTCGGCCTGACTGGAAGAGCATGTTCTGGGGCATGTTTCTACATAGCGCTCGTTGTATGAGTCTGGGCGGAAAGTCATGTGAACAATGTGGGATTTCACGTGGAGACCCCTGGGGCTCCCTTCGTGCAAGCTGACATGCCATCTGGAGCTGTTTGCTCCTAGATGGGAGGGCCTGTTGGCCTAGAGTTGAATGGGAAGTCAATCCCCGAAGCCCCGAAACTACCGAAGGGAGAGAGATGGAAGGAGCACAGAGACCTATCATCCAAGTTGACCCCTACAGGTGCTGGCAGACAGCATAGGAACACCAAAAAATGGAGCCTGCACCCCTTGAGGGTCAGAGACCCTCGCAAGTTGCTGAGTCCTCTTCCACCATGGCTGTGTAGTAAAACCTCAAGCGCGGAAGTTGCGGAAGTCTGGGCGGAACGCTTTGAGCAATCCCGCATTGAGACAGGTCCAGACCTTCCTTCCGAGGAGCGAAAGGCGCGGCTGACTATGTTATGTGGGTTTATTCTCTCTCTCTCTCTCTCAACGGTCTCCCTCTCTCTATCTCGTCACCCTCTTTTCTCTGCCTCTTCATGTGTTTCAACCGCTCAAGGGTCTACATTCCGGATTTCCCAAAATCAAGTGAAAGCATGAGCCAGATCAGGAACCCGAGAGTTTAGCAGGCTGGGGTGATTTTGGGCACACCTCGTTCATGCCGCAAACTATAAGGCAGGAACAAAGTGTCGAAGCCCACTCCATTTACCATGCATCTTCCACTGAAGCGAGGAAGCACAGACGGAGCGTTTTAGAGCCGCCTTATCAGCAACGCCGTTGCGCAGGGACAACATGTAGAAGCCCACTGCTAAAGAGAAAAGGAGGAAAGGAAGGAACCCGTCATTCGCAATCATTCGTAGAACCAATGTCAGCACAACCATTTATTACAACCCTTTCATCAGCTTGTGTTGGCCAAAGGGCTTGAAGAGATGGCGATCTGACCTTGCTAAGGAAATAGGTTTGGGTCTGGAATGGATGGAACAAGATGGAACAAGTTTGGTGAGGAACCCCCAGCAGGTTTCGGCGTGCTTGTCAGGACCTCCAGCAGCAGATCAGCGCAGTCTTGCCGAAGCTCGAACCATCCAAAGCGGCTGAGCTCATCGGCAAGCTGCAGGGTGCAGAAGGCAGTTGGAGCCTGTACACCTACAGACGGATCGTCTCAGCTTACAACGCAACACGAGGCATCCGCAGCTCATACTTCTTGGATGAGATTGCACGATGCCTGCATCCATCCCGCTTTACCAGTCGCAGGCTCAGCTTCTCGTGAGTTTCTGAACGCGCGTTTGGCGCGTTGGCATGTGTTGGTGCTCAGGCTCACACTTGACTCGCATATTGGCCTCTCTGTCTTCCTGGGCTGCAGCAGTTAGCGGTATCTTGACTCAATGGGAGCCAGTTGGAGCATTACGAGCGGCTTCTGCTACTACGCCAGTGACTGATGATGTTGATTTCAGGCAGTGATGCAGATGGGAAGATCAAGCTGTCTGAAGATGCCCGACGCACATCTGCCTATTGCTCCGATGTTTGTTCCAAGCTTCATTGTGAGAGACTTCTTCCTGCACAATCACAGCCACTGCCAAATCGACCAATGTGATGCGGATTTGTGTTGTGATATCGGTGGGTAGGGTACGGGGACTCCAGGGATACTCTCAGGGATAGTCTGATTTCTCTGCGCAGTTCTCTGCAGGATTCTTTCGTGGATTTTCTGGGGCAGGCACTCCGGGGACTGCAAATTCTATGCGGAAGTGGACACCCCACGGATACTCGCAGAATTGTGCTCGGGATTCTTTGGGTGCTTGATTCTCTGGGTGCGGGTGGGAGGATACCTGAGTTGAATCAGTTGATGATGCGAAAATATGCAATCAGACCACTACTCTGGGCAGCTGGTGTGTCTGAGGCTAGGTCATTCTTCACAACCTCAGCAGCTGAACTTTCCCTCAGGCAGGTGTGCCCGTCTGCGGTGTATTTGCAGAGTCGTATCAGCACGAATATGCGGGAAGTTGTGACAGGCTAATGGATGTGGCGCCCAAAGATTTGAGCCAGATTGCCACAGCCATGGCCACAATCGGCATGACCGAGGCTTGTGTTTCCGGGAATGACTTACTTAGGGCGGTTGAGAGCACCACGTGCCCGCAGGAGCGCTTCTTTGCGTCATTGGCTAGGGCGTCTGTTGCCCGATGTGAGCGCTTCAGTGTTGAGGCCTTGGCATGAAGAATTTGCTTGATGTGACGCGTTGGTGGATGGTGGCCCTTTAGCATGGAAGCCAGGAGATCCTTGTCGTTTGCGCGGCCTTTGACAAGGCTTTGCCAAGTGTTACCTAATTTAGATGTCATCGCTGTCATGGCTAACTCTCTACCTTCGAAGGCGGGGATGGTCCACCTCCCCCTCTTGGAGGCCTCCGGAAAGTTGCTGAGGATGCAGGTGGCACAGGTGCCTTGGTGGCAGTGGCGGCACTGGTATCATTGGCATCATTGACCGTCAGCAATCGCACTTCGATCGGATCTGTTTCGGTGCTGGGTTCCTGGCGCTACTTGACAAGTCGTGGAGTGTTCATGAGGTGCCTGGCCCAGAGCTTTCCAAAGGCTTGCGCAGCCTGGCCACATGCTGTGTGCTTCACTCAGTCACTCAGTACACATCCCAGAACGGTGGACCTTCATTGAGAGCTCCTAGATGTTTGTCCAGATGTAGTGAGATGTAATGAGGTTCGTGACTTGGCCCTTGGCAGAGCCGTTGGTGAGCACTTAGCTGAAGGTCCGAAGGCAAGGCTGCTGAGCACGTTTCAAGACGATGCCAGATGTTCTTTTTTGCATTGGCACCTTCATGCCAGGGTGGGCTTACTCCAGAAGAGTTCTGCTCCCTTGCTTGGACGCGCAAAGCTCAGATTCGCACGAGCCCCGCTTCAAGCAGTCTCTTGAGTTTTGAGACACAGGTTTGTGACTTTGGGCTTCTATCACGACCAGATGTTCCGGGCCGTTTTCAAGGCGCTGGAGGCTTGACACAGTTGACGTACACACAGCTACCTGCAAAAACGTCCGACAAGAAGCTGGCGATGTTTGCATTGCCAGGACGCCCCGACTATGCCCGGGGACACGCTGTGCGGGCCCGTGATGAGAACTCCAAGGACTCAAGTGTTTCCAACGCAGCGTGCAACTCCGAGGTGCCAGCTTTACGAGATCCACTTGGCACTGAAGGCCGCTCAAGAGAGCTGAGTCGCAGAAGATATAGGAAACCATTGGGAACAGGCCTTCCGCAACGACCTCTACGGCAAGTATGAGCTGGAGGCGACCTTTGAATTTCAAGTCAAAAGATGGGTCTCTTGATGCTCAACTCATGCTTGCAGGAATCTGCGGTGCAAAGCCTCAAGGCGCACTACAGAAAACAGCGTGGCGGTAAGCCAGCCTCTAAGGTGTGAATGCCTTTTGAACAGACTTGTGAATTCTTACGGCTTTAAGTTTTGAAAGCTTCGACACCCCCGAGGGTCAGAGATGTGAAGTTGGACCGTTCCATGGAGAAGGTTTGCAAGGCCTGTGTGTTCTTTGCATCGGTTTGAGGTGGCTAAAGCAGCGAAGGTCCTCTGCGACAGGAGCAGCTTTGTGAAGCCGATCGGAATGGTTTGGGCTCGCAGCAAGATAATGTAGTGCTACCCACCTGGGTTTTGCGTGGCAACCTGTGTCGAAGAGGCAGGGCCGAGCTAGTCGGCCGAGACGACTGACCGGTGCCACATTCGCATCCGAACCTGAAGTAAAGTGCATCGCTAAAACGGTGGTGCCGACTTGGTGCCTGCCGTAGTGCCGGCGGCGCCGGGCATGTGGAGCTTCCTTTGCAAAGTTTGCGCACTGGGCGCCGCCGTTGGTGCCGTCGCCGAACCTGGCATCCGGCACTCTGTGGGGGACCCTCCGGCGGAGGCGGCGGACCGGGCAGTGGCACTGCTCGCCCTAGCGTCGGCGAGAGAGGCGCAGCTGGACGAAGCTGATCAAAGCTATCTGAAGAAGCTGCAGCACTGCAAAGACGGCGACTGCGCACAGGTGGTCAAGGAATTTCAGGAGTCAAAGACCTCTTTCAGAGCACTTGAGGACCAAGCTCTCACTCAGGCCAAACAAGTCCTGATGGCCACTCAAGCTCCAAACACTCCGCACCCTACTCTACGCTCCCACGTCTCCAAGCACTCGAAGGCTCCAGCGCAGCCGGCACAGTCGAATTTGCACAAGCTGATGGCTATTGCCTTTGGGACAAGCATGATGGTTGCAGCTTTTGTCTCTGGACGGAGCCTTGGCGACCTTAGCGTTGCAGTTGTGAAGCCGCCAGTCTTTATCGACCTCTTTGTATCTTGTACTAGGCCATAGGCTGCTACTCGACCGCGCAACAAGCTGTTGCTTCTCAGGTGGCTACATCAAGCTCATCGGCTCTTGAAGCAGAAGCCATACAGTGAAACCACTCCCCTCATGAGCGCAGCTTAAGCGTAGCGCGGACCAGCGCGGACTGTGCAGGCCCGCACGTAAGCTTGTGTGTTTCGGCGTAGCAACGTGTGCAGATGAGAGCATTTTGGGGCGAGGGTCGAAAAGGGTGAATGTCTGCTTGCAGAGTGTTCTACTGCGCCTTATGTACTTTGCTTTGACACTGACTAAATATGACGAGTTGACTTTGCGGTGCGTCGTGTATAGAACTGCATAGATGATGGGTGAAACCCAGGAACCCAGCCGTCCAAGCCACCCTGTACTTTGCAAGCTGGGCATGTGAGTCTGCCAGGACATCGCAGACTGCCTCCAGAAGGTAGTGACCGGATCCGTCTCCAGGCAACACCAGACCGAGTCACCAGCTGAGCTGATGCTGACGGACATGCAACGGAGCCACGCGTTGCGTCGGGAAACGCACGGAAGCACGGAAGCACAAATTTGCACGGAGCTTCTCTGAGATTCTCTCAGGCTTGGGATGGCAGTGGACATCGCTGTTTCCAGCAAAAGGGGTTCGCGACCCATTGCCTTCATCGAGGCTCGAGTGTGAACTCAGAGACTGTCCGCTTATCCACCTAGCGTGCCAGGTTGATGGGTCGCATTCTCTCATGAAAACGCTGGGCCCCTACATTGTTTTAATATGTTTTAATGACACTGAGAAAGACTTTCCGCAAACCTGAGTCACAGGAAATTAGCTGCTAGGCTAAATACAACACTGGTTCAGGTCATGTACAAACATAATGCAGTCGTGTACACTCCTTTGCTCGATGATGTGTTGTCGTGGATTCCGGGTGTTGTTTGGACAGTTCTGTTAGACTGTTCTATGATGTATACTACGTACAACATACATTGCTTTATGTATGGTTCCGCTTATAGAAACCGAGAGAAAAGTCTTACATATCCTTCACTGTGTTTTACTCCATAGTTGCTTAAGCTGTTTAGACATATGATGCTGTTGCTTAAACAAGGCGGTTGTGCAAGATACTTATATACAGACTCGTTGTACACATAAAAAAGAAGTCACATAAACTGAGCTTGACAATGACAAGTGGCGAAAGCACACAGAAGTTTGATAACAAAAACAGGACCAAACGAAGACCATGACACATACTCAACACTGAACATAAATAGGATTCTCCTCGCCCGGGCCTCCTGTACTAGTACTTCTGGGGTGTTCTTGGAGACTCCTGCAAACCCTGCCACTCGGGGACTGGGTGTTTTGGACACCCTGGCACTCGGTGGGCACTCCATGGATTGCGGGTACCTTTGGATGGTCGCTACGTTGCGGGATTCCCAGCTCCGGGCGTGGGCACTCCATGGATTTAGTGGGATTCTCTAAGCGATCTCGGCCAAGATACCTACCTCAATGAACTTGCAGCAGCTTTCTGAAGCTGTTTGGCTTCGGTCCATGGAGAGCATAGCTGTTTCATTCTTGATATTATTTGGTGTTATTGTTTTGCAGTGCCCCACCTTCATGTTTCGCCGTGCAGTTCAACCCAAGGTCTGATCCATAGTCAGGTTACTGCACTTCACACACATTTTCGCTGAACAAACATACCAGCACGTTTCCTGCACAAGCCGGCATTCAGTGCCAGCTTGGTATTCTCGGTATATAGGCCGTGCTTCCACAGAGGAGACAGGCTGATTCACTCGGCTGATTCCACTTGACACCTTTCCGCTGAAAATGGGCCGCATCCGACTAATTCCGCATTTCGTGGGGTCAAGCGCTCGATGGCTGGGCTGGTCACCCGACTTTGGCCGTCAAGTTTGCTTGTTTCGGTCCTTGAGTCTGGTTCCATCTGGTTCCGATTTGAGACTTTGCCCTATGTACTCCGGCAATCTCTGTCATGTTCAGTGAGCGCGCAATCGGCACCCGCTTCTTGGCCATGCTCGGCCTGTCAGTTGCCCTTGCCATTGGGCGTGCAGGAGTTTAGGAAGTTGGGGATACATATTTAAGGTGAGTCTAAGGTGAGTTTACGCTGAGTTTAGGAGGATCTGGGAGTCCACGCCTGCTGGTGCCGGGTGGACGGATGGGGAGGGGCTATATTTCCACCTTCAATATTCAATAGTGCCACATTAGATCGTTTTTACATATCAGGAATGCGGGCATGTAGCTTGCAACCCTTCTCGAAAGACAACGGGCTAAGCCGCTGAGCACATGGTTTCAACTAGCGTGTGTTGGACATGTGATCATCTCGAGGAACGTCAAGCGCCCCATATGGCCCTCCCCCCCCCCCCCCCCCCCTGTGGCCAAGGCTAGACTTGACAGGGCCCACGGCATCGCAGATCTCCAGAGTCTTGGGCTTGTCGGCAGAACTTCGCGGTGTGACAGTGTGACACATTGTGTGTGCACGCCTCAGGTACGGGGACCTGTCTTGCTGAAGAGGTACCTGCTGCAGAAGTTCCTTGGCCGAATGAGTGGCATCCAGGGACACCCATGCCCGCATGAACGCAAAGGCTCAGTGCTGATGGAGCGCATTCAATGCCCCTGTTGTAATCCCACGGTGTGCAAAGGATAATGTCCGTCGGCATTCTTCACCCGCGGCGCTTTTTGCTAGATGTGTTGATGAAAGTAGAAGCAACACGTCCCAGCCCTGCGGGCAACTAAAAATGACGTCTTGAATGTGCCACGAGCGAAATCATGAGTTTGCGGCTCGTCAAATCCAATGGAACGTCCCTCGTATCTGAAGCGCTCGAGCAAGACTCTTCCTGAAGGAGGTTCATTTCTCATTGACAGCAACCGACGATGCGTGAAGATGGTGGTGCAACGAAGCTGCGCAGCAGTTGCTGTCTGGGTCGCACTCTTCGACCACCAGGAAATCTTTCTTACCTGGCTTGCTGGATGCCTCGACTGGGGTCCAGATATAAGTATGAATGTGGCAGCCGTCTTTGGCATCGTAGCCGTGCTCAGGAAACAGGCACAACAGTGACGTACAAGAGATCATGGAAACCTTTTGCACCGTGAGGGGAATGGGATGGCCAAGATTGAGGTCAAAGCACTTTGATCCCACTTTACAACAAGTCCGTGCCCCCGAAAGCTTGTTTTTGTAGAGGAGCCGTAGACAAACGCGACGTCCCTCTCAGGAGTCTGCGCTAAAGAGGCTGCAAGAACATTTCATGAGCGGGTGGTTGCATCGGGCATCTACTCCTCCAGGGGTGGTAATCATGCTTCCACCATACCCTGGGGCGCTTCCGTACTTCAGGTAATGTCTTGGTGAAAGTTCGGTCGGGGAGACCTCCGTTTAAGACCACATGATCGAGAAGCATGGCTGAATGTGCGGCATTGCGAATTGATGAACATCATGCCGAGGCATGGCTTCCGAATAGCGGCACCGCACCTACTGCGTTCTGGACCACTGACAGCTTGCAAAGCCTTTCAGAAGCTTGTTCAGGTTGTTCCGGAAGACTTCTGGCGGAGCTTGCCAGACACCAGAGACAAGCGGGACAGTCTCCAGTGCTGCCAAAGAATTGTTGAACACAGCAATGCCGTGCCCGGAGTTCTGCCCAGCATGCTCAGGACTTTTTACGAGAGTTGCTGCGGAGCGCTGGCGTGCCGTCCAGACTGTTATAGCAAGAAAAAGGGCGGCATTGCATGGCATTGCATGGCATTGCAGCATTGCCTCCTCAAGCTGACAGCAAGGAACCTCCTAATTGCCCCACGGAAATGGCTCAAGATGGCTCTGTGCTTTTTCGCTCTGCTCACGGCCAGGTTCCTCCGCATCATGGACATGTTGCAGTTGGGTTTGCGTGAAGGCCACTTGCAGGTTCTGATGGAGGCCTGCCAGAGCAGTTGTTGAACTTGCTTGAGACAGCTGAGACAGCTGTCGGCAGCGCTGAGCTGAGGCATACTGTGATGCAAGCGACAGGGAGTTCAGCTACTTGGACTTCTGCAATTCTGTTCGCCGTCGAGCTTCTGAATCTAAGCTGCATACCAGTTTCATTCGAAATGAACATGTTTGAACCTCAACTGAACATCGTCGAAACATGCAAGCGCCAGGAAGTCGGCAGCACATCACGGAAGTTGTCAGCCTGCCAGCATCTGCCAACCGTTCTTCTGTTCTTATGTGGCTCTGCCGTGCTCGTGAGCTGCATTGGAAGTGACCGAAGCCGGACCTAAGCAAGGTACAACGTGTCAGAACCTTCAAGATACTTCACACGCCTTCCTGCCGCAGTTCCCTGTATTGCATGTTTGAAAGTAGTGCCAAGCTTCGCCCTAAAACAGCTGTGCCAGGAAAGGGCAAGGTGATCCCTCTGGTTCGACAGGCCCCTCTTTCTGCGAGGTCGCCCGGGGTGCATCGTTTCTGCAGTTGCAGTATCTACGATATTTTGGAGAAGTATGCAGGTACGGAGAAGGCGTCTTGCAGTGTGTGTCAGGTGCAGACCAAAAACGCGGTGACTGCTTGGATTTGTTTATTTTAAGTCGAGATTTCACAGATGCAAAACCATGTTGCGACTGGAGAACTCGGAATGCGACAGCTACCAAATAAATTCATGCAAGTGTGGAAGAAGTTGAAGGGTGCTGAGGCTAACAGCCGCGCAGCCAAACTTCGTAATGTTAGGATTGTTTCACCTAGAACTACCGCTTGCGTGAAAATGCTCTACGCTGAAGGTCATAGCTCAGGCAGCACGGATTTGGAGCCAGTGCTTCGTCAGCGTGTTGTGGCAAACGCATCGCAGGCACCCGGCGCAGCAGCGGTTCTCTTCGTTTACCACATCTTTTTCGTCAACCTGTTAGCATCCTTTTACCAGCGCCATGTCTAAAGTCACTAGACCCTGCACCTCCTCTTGGGGTCTGCATCTCTGCACTAAGGTGTGTCATGACTGATCCGGGCGTAGTGCCTCCAAACTGGGGCTTCTACATGGGCGATGAGACGAAGCGAAGAAGGCCAATGGTGTTAACTTGCAAAAATATACACAGCAGTTGCGCTCGCAGTCCGGATGTTGTGTCTATCAGCGGCGCTCAGCAGGTATTGCAAAATGTGCAATGCACCCTCCTCAGAGCACACTCCCTGTGAGCAATCAGCATGGCAGAGTGCCAACGTTTCAGCTCACTACGCTCAGTGCTGTCTCCACTTGCGCAGGTCTGGAAGCCTGACCGGACACACCACTGCAACCCAGCAGCAAGCACTTATGGCATCAGCAAGCATTGCGTTGTGTTGCAGCTGAGGTAGTATTTGCAACCGCTGCATCCTGAACATGGACCGATGTCTGGGAATGGGCAAGGTTGGACTGTTTGGCAAACAATCTTCAGAGGCAGTTCCTGTGCTGCGTATCGGTTCAAAACCAGCAAGCCTCAAGACAGTACCGACATGTCTCAATTTGGGTTTTACTCTCTCATTGGATGCTTGTCAAGAGCAGGGGTCAGATTGTTAAAAAACTTCTCACTTTTCACGAAGCCATATCGTCACAGAAGGACTTCATGCAAACCCAAGGCAATGCAAACTAGTTGTTGACTGTTGCCATGGCTGTCTTCAGTCAGGGCTACAAGCCCAATGACGTCCGTGGCTCCCAGCTCTAGAGCAACGCATCACATTCCGTGCAGTATGAGTAGACTGAGTAGATCCCAATTTTTTAGAGCTTGCAACCGTCGGAGATTACATGCCTACGGCCTACACCAAGAACCTGCTACGAGATCGATTTGGAGACCCAGCTGCATCCTTTGATGTGCCACAGCTGCAGCAGCTGCGGCAGAAGAAACAAATCAGGACTCAGCAGAATTGCTGCTCAGGTGGGCACCGATCAGTCAAAGCAGGAAATCGTGAGGATAGCAGAACAATGGTGGGCACCCAAAGGTCGCCTGATCCTGTCTTCTGGCGCCAGATAGTTGGAGCTCTAAGGCTGGATGCCCATCCCTGGGCTCGCAAAGCTGCCGATCAACACCGCAAAGAGGTATCAGCTGAAGCTGTTCGCAAGTGACTCGAAGAGAGAATAGAGTGAGGGCAGCAGCTTTCCTAAGCGTCCCATGCATCTCCTGAATCACTTCGGGAGGCTGAAGCCCGGATGGCCCCGTCTCCGTGCCGCCTTCCTGGTTGACGATGCCTCTGCGTTATGTTCTCAACATCAACATCTACAGCTATACCTACATCTACATCTATATCTATATTGGGAGTGTGTTTACATGTCTACATTCTCTCCCATTCGGTGATCTACATTGTCGTCCTTTTTCTCATACAGACACCTCGCAAAACGCCGACGAGTTTTGCTGCATGGATTCCTCTGCAAACCTCTTTGCTGCAGTAAACAAAGCTACCAAGAGCTCGATTCATCTGCGTTGTTCTCAGTGTGTTTCAAGCATGGAATGGACATACATAGTTTTCATTAACATCCGTGCTAGTCGTCTGTTACTGCATTAAGTTTGAACTCTGCGAGTCTCTTAGGCATTTTGCTTTCTCACCTGCCTGCAAAACCCCAAAGCAATGAGGTTTCCAGCCCCAAAAAGGGAGGGGGTGGAGGAGCGCGCGGGGTGGTCATAAACACATGTGAAGCAGCAAAAAACCCTAGAATGCCGTCCTCGGCTCCTCGCGATGTTCTTAACAAGTACAGCCTCTGCAGAAATGCTCATTTCAACATTTTTCTTCAGCATCTCCGCGAGGATGGCGCGCTGTCTTGTTCTCATGCCAAAAGATTGGGTTCTGCCTCGTGTCCGCGAAGTACTTGAAATGACATCTCAGCTTCTCGTGCAAGCCAGAGCCGAATATTGATGTCTCTTTCTGGGAGTGTAGTTCTTTGGCTGACCGGGTGTCACGGTTTGACAGAAGCCACCTCCTGTTACGGACTTCCTGGTCCTCATGACTCTTCGATATGGGCAGGAGAAGGGAGATCTTGACGTCAATTCTGGTGCATATGACCTTCAGAAGCTGTGTTTGGCATTTTGTATGCTGTGCCATTTTCCCTAGCGCTTCTGATGGGCTTTGGCTTGTCACCGCAATTGATCTGGAGCGGTTTTGTTGCAAGAGTTCGGCATACGTATGCCGACATCACAACTCCCGAGCTCGTCGCTGAGAGTTGCAAATTGCATTCTGTTCCAAGAAAGTTGTTGGTATTTCCTGTTCAATCAGTGATGGAGGCAAGCATTTCAAAACACACGGGCTAGCACTTGACTGGAGAATGTCTTGGCGCCAAAAGCGGGCATTGCGCAACCTGCCTCAAATGACAAGCCTGGCCAGAGTGCAATGCGTATGTTTCCCGGCACTGTTGAGGGACAGTCTTTTGATGACCTTGGTTTGTCGGAAACCCACGTTTGCTCAAAGATGCAGTGTTGAGCGTTTTGCAGCCCGTCTAAGCGACATTTGCCTAAAATGCTTCACATAGCTCTAATGTGAAACAGGTTGTAGCAAATCAGAGCAGCCGCAGGAGAGGAAAGCATCAGCCTTGATCCTCTATGTGCTGTGTGTTTAAGTATATGAGCCCGAATCCGACGCAGGGTTTCGGGTTCGCTTGAGAACCCGCCAGGACCGCTTCACATTCGTCTCGCCTAAACCCATACTGACAAATGCCATTTTCGCAGAAGGTTTACAAAGTTCCCATCCTACTGCATGAAGTTTTGGTCCTTGCCCATTTTTGAATTGGAACAGAGAACCGAAACCACATTAAGGCAGAGAGCCTTCATTTTTGCAGCGTTGTCAGCCGATCTGCGAAAAAATCATCATCAACAAAATTAGCTGGGAATAAGCACAGTCGCATTCGACAACCGTTGGGCTCATTATGCTTCCGTGGCGTTTTCAGCCCCCCAGCCCCACACCAAGACCCCCAGCCCTACGCATCTGCGTCCCCAACGTGCGCCCCAAGCCCAGCCCCACACCATCTGCGTCCCCAACCTGCTTGGGGCCCCGTCCCCAACCTGCGCCCCAAGCCCCCCAGCCCCACCCATCTGCGACCCCAACCTGTGCCCCAGCCCCCCAGCCCCACCCATCTGCGTCCCCGTCCCCAACCTGCGCCCCAACCCCCCAGCCCCACCCATCTGCGTCCCCAACCTGCGCCCCAAGCCCCCCAGCCCACCCATCTGCGTCCCCAACCTGTGCACCAAGCACACCATCTGCGTCCCCAACCTGCGCCTCAAGCTTTTTTAGCCCCACCCATCTGCGTCCCCAACGCCTTTTCATGTACCCTTTTTTGAGTGTCAGGGCTTCAGCCATTTGTTGTAATGACTCCGGCCTTGTTAAGGGCAGCTACACCCTTGCACCCGCGAAAAACCCAAACTCCTCGCTGAAGCTAGTACTGCTAGGGTTGCCACGAATGGGAGCGATGATTGACGGCGGCATTGCGCGCAGACGCTGCTTGACACTATACAAGCATCCGCAGCTCAGCATAAAGGGTTGGTTGTGGTTTGAGCATGACCGGTCATGCATGGCACATTTGACTTCTGGCCGCGTGCCAGATCGTGCAGGAAGCGAAAGTAAACAGAGCCGGCATGAAAAACCGTGCTGACTCCAACAATCTCGAGGAAGGGGTTCTTTGCAGTAGTGATCAAAGTTCCTCTCCCATCAAAACCAACATTCCAAACGAGCAAAACCAACAGCAACCAAAACACCCAAACTGAGAAAAAGGCACAACCGCCCCAGTGCCTTGAAGTGTTGGAGCATCGTTTTTGAAGTGATGTCATCGCGCTCGCCGTCCTCGAAACTGTCAACACTTTCCGCGATATGCGTAACTCAGGTCGTCGCGCTTGGGCGTCTGGGCTCACGTAGTCTTGCACTGTTTGGGGCTACGTTGGCAAAATGCGTATGTGTTTATATATATATGTGTATATGTGTATAGATGTATGCATATATATATATGTATATATATATGTATACATATATATATATATGTATATATATATGTCTGTATGTAAATATAAGTAAATAAATAGATAATAAAAAATGAATGAGTACATGAATATATGTATATATATATATGTATACATGTATATATGTATGTATGTATCTAGGTGTGTGTATACATATATATATATATATATAATATGTATTCAGCACAACGCCAGGAGCATCGCAGCATCGCCTGATTCAGCTGACCGCAAAGCTTGCAAGCTTGGCCGCCGACCCATCGCGCAAGCTTCATCCAATGTCGAAGCGTCTCGCGCAGTGGTTTAAGGACGTTTCTCTGCAATGCTGGCGGGCAAGGCGCTGTGGCAAACTCTACGGGTTGATTTGCGTTGCAGAATTTGCCAGGCACCCGAACCCGCGGTTGATGTTGATGTGACGGGGCATCGAACCGAGATCTTGCAAGCGTTCAACATAGCCTTCGAGTTGTTAAGAGTATCTTGTGTCAGGTCAGCTTGCTCATCGCCTTCAGCGAAGGCAAGTCTTGGCAGACCTTCGACCAGCAAGCAGTTAAGCAAGCGGCGCCCCCCTTCGGCTTGCTGCTTGTGACCTGCAGCAGCTGGGTGCCACCTGCGGGAGTCCGAGGTGTGAACAACAAGGAGCCTCAGGAAAGAGTCCAGTCGAGGCGTAAATGCTTCCGTTCGATCCGTTTGGGGGTGCCTCTACTATTGGCTTGGTGCCCGCTTTTGTTTCGTTTCTTGTCTTGGCTGGCAGTCCAGGACAAGAAGACCTGCACCAGCAGTGAAGGCGTGGACGCTGCATCGTTGCTGTTTCGAGATGAGAACTCTGGTTCAGAGCGTTGGTCTCCGTGTACCGAACTGGCAACAGGAGAGTGTGCGAGCCAAGCTCCTTGCCATCGTTGTCGCTCCTGACGTGGCAACACTGGCACAGGACGCTGCGTCAAGTCTTGAACCATACCGCTCTTGCCAAGCTGCCAGAGCACGTATTTGTTTGACCCTTCATGCGACCTCGACATGACGGGCCTGGTTTTTTGGGTACTTCTTACGGTGGAAGGGTCCTCATGCCTCTGATCTCTCAGTTCTGTGGTTCCTGGCCCAGCGGTTTGCCGGTCAGCCAAGCCGCCCCCAGAACATCATCATGCCATCAATGAGGAATGCATCAAAGCCCGTATGAACTGTTTCCAAACCCATCATGTGAGCATTGCGTTGCAAATGTGTTTCATGAGTAGCAGACCATCCCATCATTGTTCCTTCAAAACCTATATGGACTCTTTCTGAGCCCGTCATACAACGTTGTAGTTGCGGGGGAGGAGGGCCCCATCAAAGGGCATTCCTTCAAACCCATATAAATGAGATTTCGCTCTTCCATTCTCGCTCTTCCATTCAAATAGGGTCTTCTTTTTCAAGCAAGAAATTGAGGTTCCCCGATTTACATACAGAAAGCTTCCTGTTCAAACATCAGGGAAATGCAGGTTGTCTTGGATAAACGAAATTCAGGCCTCTGAGAAACAGTTTGTTTCACAGGAGAATGTGGAGGAAGCCAAGGTCTCCCGTGCACAAAAATGAAAATTGGTTTTGCTATCACAGCAAACATCGGTTTGCTGTTGCATGTCAGAGAAAGACATGAAAGGGTCTAGAGTCTAGAGGTTTCCAATCCAGGTTCAGTAAGGCAAAAGAAACCACCAAGGTAAAAAAGTTCGTGACGCTTTTTAGCTGAGAACTCTGACTCCATGAAACCCCCAACATAGTGAGCCACAGCTCCGGCTTCCTAGTTTTAGATTTGTTTCGTACGATGCTTGCATGCAGTGCATGTGCAATGTCTCGCTTACACTCTGCATCATGCTGCGCCGTTCATCAACACATGCGCATCGAAGGCGGAAGAGCTGAAACAGTGCTTGGAATCTATTGCCGCTCAAGATGTGCTACCCGCAGCGTCAGGGTCCCAGAGAGCAAGGTCCTTCGCTCTGAAAACCATGGAAGCGTTTTGATGAACGTCTCCACCTCTTAGCTGAGCTTTTCAGGCTGTGGGTGTCCTGGCACACGGAGGACTTCAGTATCAAGCTGGCTGTGTCCCACTTTCTTGACGAGCTGATGCCCAGGTATGGAGACTCTTGTGCACATGTTGATTTTGTCTTCGCACCAGCACCAGGTGCATCCGTAAAGGCACGCCGCTGACGCAACTTCAGCCTTCGCCTCAAGGGAGCTCTGCAAATCTCTGCAAAAACCTTTCTCTGAAGCAACCAGGCTTGAGGAGTTCACTGGCAGGTGGAGACATGTTGAAGCTGCCTGGACCTCTGCTGAAGATTCTCAGAGAGAGGTGCGCTCTTCTTTTTGTGCAACGGCAGGTCCTGAAGGCACGGCGGAACATGGGTGGGGATGCAGTTGGCCAAGCACAGAATGTGACAGCACCGGATGTAGAATGTGAGAGAAAGGAACGCATGGCAGCGTGAGAGGGGGGCCTTGCTTACCGAGGTGTGCGACATGTGGGTCACTGTTGCATGCTGCGAGACCTGACCTCAGCCTGGCTTCCGAGATGCTCTGCAGCCGAGCACGGAGAGCAGGGCCGGAAGCGCTTCGTACTTCTGTTGCGCGCTATGCGACAGCCGCTACAACGCGATATATCGCGATGTAGCATAGGCTCACTTGTGCAGAAACCTGTCAGCGATGTGCAATGCTTTGTTGAAGTGCCAAGTTCAGCTGAGGCTTTGGCATCCACGACGCTGTGAATGCATCTGCCAAGAGGTGCGGCATCTCCATGGAGTTGCACAGCTCTGCCAGCCATGCGTAGCTGGATGTAGCTGGCGTAGCTTTATCTGAGCCGGATGGGGCTGACGAACAGGCGGCAAAAGTATCGGGCGATGTGTCGGCCCTCCTCCTGCAGCAGGGCTATCAGGGCGACGTGACTAGCATTGCGCAGGCCAATGCGATGATTTTTTGTGAACATGCTTGGGCTACTGCTTCTTTCTCTAGGGTGCCCCAGCAGTTTAGAGTGAGCAGTCAGTGAGCAGCGTTTCTTGACAGAAGCCCGTGAGTCAGAGACTGGAGGTGGAAGAGCTCCTCCTGAAGGGAAGCCTCGGGCTTTTGTCAGAGCAGGATGTCCGAGCCACAACCTCCAGCGTAGTGATGCGAGTGCCTGCAATGGCAAAGTTCTTGGCCTCTGTCCCAGAGCCTATGCGCAGGCATGAACTTTTAGATTTAGCTTTCTGTAGCTATGCGTGGCATGAGCCTGGTGCGCACATGACGAGTTTGGACATTCCTTGGTCGTTTTGCCTGCGCAATCATGATGTGGCAGGAAGACTTGCTGAGTTTGCACTCAGCAGGTTTGTGAATGGTGAGGGTTACGATGCATCCCTGGAAGAGAGACAGGGTGCCCTCATGATGCGAAGATCTGCCGGAGATTGGGCCTACGCCATTTCTGCCGCAGATTTTGTTCGGTTTGTTGCCGCGTGCAGGTTGGGGGCAGAAGCCCTTTATTTGGTTGGCATGTTTTGTCCGGAAGATGATTCGGCGAAGAATGCGATCGCACAAAGCCTTTGGCAACGAGTAGGTCTGTGTTGGAAGGTGTGCCAGGATGGACACCGTTGGATGGAAAATCAGACTGCTCTTCTTTTACAAGATGCAGAAGCGACTCTGGGCAGCCTTGCAAAGGAGCCATCAGAGGATAGACTGTCGCAGCTTCTGAGAATGTCCAAGCTTGCTGACTCGCGCGCCGAACCAGAAAATCGAGATCGACTTCTCTGCGCGTCGTAACCAGGTTCCTAAACTCGTCATGGGTCTCCTCGATCTGAAAAAGACATGACAAAACATACTTCTGGAACTCACCAGGACCATCACTGTCCGTGGATCAATAACTGCGTGGGCTTCTACAACAGGAAGTTCTTCATTCAGCTCCTTTCCTATGTGCAAACCTTGCGTCGTTTCATCGCTTGGCTGCAGGTGTAAAATGCAGATTCAAATCTCAATCTATATGTAGTATATAATATATTTTAAGGGGGCTGCGCCCATGGGCGGGCAGCGCAGGCAGAAGCTCGAGGAGAGTTGTTCTGCAAACCGGAAAGGGGCGCGCGCGCCTGGCGTGCGTCCCGACGGGGTCAGCTGTAGGCTTTCATAGTCGGAACGCACGGGTTTGGCGACAGGGAAAGCTTATGCACGCGTGGGCCGCCGTGTCATCCAAGGCCGGAGCCGCCGATGCTCATGATGCGCGCCCGGCATCCCGGACTGGGGCCGCTGATGCTTCTGATGCGCGCTTGGGGCTCCGGAACTCAACCCGCTCATGCTCATGATGATCCCATTTTGCGCAAAAAAAAACCGTCTACCGGCCGGCGCTGCCACAGGTGGGGCGGGGGGGGGGGGTGGTGGAGCGCCGGGTGAGGGTGGGGGGTGGGGGTGGGGGGGGAGGTGGCAGGCGTAGTGGAGTGCGATTCCAAGGAAAAGGGTACAGGGACCCTCAAAACACTTGGCGCCCTTGCTCAAACACTGCATGACTTCTCAAACACTGCATGATGGGATGAGAGGGGGTGTAGATGAGGCGGTGGGAGTAGGGCGATGACCGGATGACCGAGAATGGGCCTTCACTAACGCCTCCCCGCTCCAGCGGGGGTCGGCAGATATATATATATATACACACACACACACATTTTTTTTGAATACACGGGTTAATATAGCGTTGCAGTTTGTTCGTGAAAGTGGAAGCTGATCTCAAGCAAACCTGCCAGGTATCTCAGTCTTATCATAGTTGTGTTCTTCACCATCCCAGAGATGTATACTCGACGCTAATCAGCAGTGACGACACATTCACACGTGACTTTGCTGATTGTCCTTCGTCTGCGAGAGGCATGTCACAGCAAGCCCTGTGCAATGCTTGCGGACGTAGGGTCTGCTTTTCATCAGCAGGCAGGTTGAAAACCTCTGCACCCCCCTACACTCCAGTCACTCATTGTGCTTACAATCCTGCAGCTGAGCCAGCCAGAAGCATCGCATTTATCGCATGGACAGGCAGGTTTCCGCAGACTTCAGTTTGGATGTAGGACCGGATGCATGCTGGTATATGCTGGTGCAGCCAAGGAAGTATGGAACTAACCAGGCGCTTGCCTCGGATGTCCGTGAAGTCAGGACAACATGTCCCATGAACTTGTGCCAGGTCACCGAACCATTATGGCGAGTCCACTTACTTCTGTTTGGAGACCGTCTTCCTGACCCTTGCGTCAAGCCGTCTGATTGCCTACTTTTTTTGATATACGGGATAGTGCATGATTGGCGCTGCAATGTGCGGCATTTGGATCAAGACACCGCTTAGCCGATTGTCGAACAAGTACCAGCCAGACTTGGCATCTGGATTGGTAGGATCTGGCAGGCTACTGTAGCTAGCAATCGGATGACCCCGGGCAAGATTTGGCAAGATCTCTAGTAGCGCATGCTCCACCACAAAATTTCCGTCGTTGTCATGTTCCGGAGTTTGTGGGCTTCAGCTAGTGTCAAACATGCTGGAAGAATAGCTGGGAGCCATGGCTCTTCTGGAGGTCTCCCTTTGGAGCGTGGGTGGCAGGAGCCGCGCAACGCTGCACTTTGATGTCACCTTGCAGTGTCTTAAAATGGTCTGCACAGAGGTGATTGATTCAGTATGGTTGTTGATTTCGCCAGTCACTGGAAGAAAGTTGTCGTAAAGCTCAGCTAGTCGGGTGCACATCCTGCTGCCTGAATGGATCCGGATCCATTTGATCCATTTCTACGTGTGTGTGTGTGTGTGTAAATCTGCGGCGGATCTTCCAGTAGCCTTCCGGCAGGGCAGCATAGAGTCACACAAGCGCCAAATTCTAGCCAGCCCCGTTCATCCCCGCAGGAAGCTCGGTGCAGTTGAGCTCAGGCTTGCGGAAAGTGCGATGTTTTTTGACTTGGTTTGCTTTGTCAAGACGTTCTTTTCTGCTTGCCGTGCTGTGCAGGGAGGAATCCACCGTGAAGGAGCCTGGTGCTATTCTCGGGATGTATTTGCTTGCCCTTGTAGTTTTGCAGGAGCTGAAGTATGCGACGGCGGACTTGCTGGAGTTACCCCCGAAATGTCACAGACTACTTTGTGGTGGAGAAATCATGTCCAGTTCCGCTGCTCAGACTGTTCTTTCTCAGAGGTAGCCTTTGCTTGCTTGAGCTCCACTTCAGGCAACAAGCGCATGAAGCACTACTACAGCCAAACTGAAGCTGCAATTGAGGCCGACTGTTTGCTAGCTGCCTGCAGGGGACATTGACGGCGAACATTCATTCAATGTTTTTCTGTTCGCATCCTGGACCTGGCGTCAAGGGGTCAGTTGTTGGCCTGCAAAGGGTTAGGCCAGGCACCGCCCATCAGGTTGGTTCTGGCGACTTGCCGGCCCATACAAAGCATGCTGCGGCCACGATGGAACTGTTTCAACTTGTTTTCACGAAAGCTAACAGCAGCGACAGCTTGCATCAGGAAGGGTTGTGAGGCCATGAATGTAGGGTTTTCGCGTGCTTTTTTAATTCCATCTGCAGTGCAAATTTCGTTCGAGCAAGGGTCTGTCACAATGTCCACAAAGAAACTCGCAACCTGACTGGCCATTGAAGAACCAGAGCCAGCATTCACCGAACGACCAAGCAGCTGGAGAGACTACTGCAACTGTGCACGGCGAAGAACCGGATCCTGCCAACATGCGTCGCTTTTGCACTCACCTGCTCGCATCCGGACAGAATGATCTTTGACAACAGGGAGACGTGACGTCAGATATCGTTCTTGTGGAAACCATCCACAACGTGCTAGGTATCCAGACTTGCGCAGGTGTAGTGAGTAGGCTTCACCAAGCATGCAGGTCACTGTGGTCATCTCGCATGAGTTGATATACAAGCGCATGTGGGATCCTTGTGGCGAAGTGAGGCGAAGGGATTGCATGTCTTGCCATTGGATGACATGTTGACGGCAGATTTTGAAGACACGTGAGATATTTCATTCGCTGCACCTCTTCCCTGAGGCAAGCCGCCCTGAATACTCTTGGGCGGGCGGCGGAACCCGGCTCCAAGGCGGCAGCAGCAGGAAAAAAGTGAGTTCCACACGTCGATCCTGTGAGGCAGCAATCGAGGCAGTATGCCAATGCCTTGAGGACTGCAGCGGTGAGGCTTCGCAGAGCAAAACGTGGCAGAGAGAGTGGGACTTCAAAGAAAAGAAAGAATGAACCAAAGCTAAAAACAGAAAGAACGTAGACGCGGCCCGAGTGCGGCTGGGTCATTTTGTGGGGGCCCAAAAGGGATCCAAGCAAAGCAGTTGGTGTCGTTGGTGTGGTTGGTGTTGCTGTCGTCGTCGTCGTCGTCGTCGTCGTCGTCGTCGTCGTCGTCGTCGTCGTCGTCGTCGTCGTCGTCGTCGTCGTCGTGGTCGTTGTTGGTCGTTGTTGGTCGTTGTTGGTCGTTGTTGGTGGTTGTTGCTTGCTGTTACTTGTTGTTGCTTGTTGTTGCTTGCTGTTGGATGTCGTTCTTGTTGTTGCTTGTTGGTTGTTGTTGGCGTTGCTGGCTGTTGTTGGTTGCTGTTAGTTGTTGTTGATTGTTGCTGGTTGACAACGGCTGGATAGCGCATCGCCGGTTTTTCATGTCCTCATGCGTTGAAAGCACTGGCAGGCGTGGTAAACTCATGAAATTCGGAGCAAGGGCTTGTATGTAGGCCGTTGATCACAAAAAAACTCATTCGAATTTTTTCCTACAAAACGTGACTTCGCGTGTTGCGAATGGCCAGAGTATCCATGCCTGTACGGTGGTTACGTCCATGCTACTGGTGCATGCGAATGCCAGAGTGTCCATGCCTTCACGATGAGTACGTCCATGTTATCCCCGTGCGTGCTGGCCAGCATATGGCTGAGAAGACTCGTGAGAAGAGTGATCTCTTCATGGGTTTCTTCCGTATGATTGTTTTTGGGTCCGGTGTTTTTCCCTAGGTGTGGCGGACCATGGCGGACCTTTCTTGTCCTAGGTGAGGCGGGCCTCTTTGGTGCCATGGTCCCTTACACACCTGGTTCGGCGTTCCTGTGTCTTTTCCTAGGTCCTAGCTGTGGCTGGACCCCTTTTCCTTTCGGCGTGGTGTTTGTTTTCTGCTTCCAAAGTCTAAAGTGTGGCGGGCCGCCTTGGTTCCTTGGTCCTGCGGTCCCTGGTCCTCATCCTTTTGCATGGCCTCCCCGGCAAGAACTACAGTGAGAAATAAACAATGGGAGAAGAAACAAGAGACAAGAAGACGTACATGTCAAGAAATACTTTGGTGTAATGTTCTGAATGACCGCCATGCCAGCTTGCTTTACAGAACCCCCAACGCTGTTTTTAATCCTTTCAAGGCCCCTCATAACTGCAAGAACAGTGCTTGCAATTAGCCACGTAAGGAACGTCATGCATGAAGAGAATTAAGTACCTTCAAAACCCGATCCACACTCGTCATTGTAAGCACCATGATGGCAAACGGGGGCGGGAGGACTGCGCCACCCCCCCAACCCCTCCCGCTTTACATCCTTTCAAAACCCGTCACACAACAGCAAAAGGGGGGGGACCCCTCGCAACCCCCCTGCTTATTTTCCAGGAAGAAAAATGGTCTCTAAACTCGATGAACTTTTCCAAACCCGTAGTTGCAAGCAGCAATCGCCCCCCCGCCCCTGCTTATTTCGAATTCTTTCAGAAGGCGTGCACAAGCAACACTTTTGTCAAGGGGGGGAGGGAGGGGGGGGTGAGCTCCCCCCCCTCCCCAGATGTTTATTTTCTTCGTAGGTGGTGGCCGGCTTTTTTTTTTCCGCAGGTGTGGCGTGCCACTTTTTTTCTAGGTGTGGCCGGACCCTTCTTCTTTCCTAAGTCCTAGGTGTGGCGGGACCAATTTTTGTCCTCCTAGGTTTGGCGGGGACCCTTTTGTCCTAGGTGTGGCGGGACCCTTGTGTTTTTGGTGCGGCGGGACCCTGTTTTTCCTAGGTGCAGCGGGAGCCTTTCTATTCCTAGGTGCCTTTTCCTAGGTGTGGCGGGCCTTTTTCCTTCCAACTGTGGCGAAAGGACTCGAAAGAAGCCGCGGGTTCGGGGGGACGCAGCCCCCCCCCCCCCCTGCCAAACTTGGTGCTTACAAAGACGGGTTGGCAACGACGGGTTGGCAAGAACTCATATGGGCATTGAAGCCGTTTAGCTTCACGGCAAGCTCAACGCAACTTTGCAAGGTGAAAATGACTGAGGAATTCCCTTGTAGTGTTGAATATTGAGCTTCCCAAAGTGACAACACTGGACGAAGATCTCCACATCCACACGCCCGCACGCTTTTGCCACACAAACAAGTTCAGGCACGACAGTTCCAAGCCTTAGTACAGGCCTGAACCCTGTAGTTGTCACACGCCAAAACAAGCTCAGGTTTCAAAAATCGGCGACAGTTACGAAGATCACCACCCCTCCACCCCCTGTAAGGGCCTTGGAGCCAAAAGAGCCTAAAAGTTGGCGCCCCTCGCCAGCTGCGCTTTATTCCGCATCGACTCGCGCCGCCAAGGAGAAATCAAATGTTGTTGAAATATGGTGTTCATTTGCAGGTCCGACGCGTGGCTCTGAAGACGTTGTCTTACATTGCCGAAAATGGCAACGAGGAGGCCAACACACCCCAATGATCCAATATGATCCAATGATCCTAGGGCCCTAGGGTGCCAGGAAGCTTTGCACCGCAGAGTTGCACCACGTTGTGGCTCGCTATGCCACTGTGTGATGTGACTTGCTTATAAGGTGATTAATCTTCTTTGCGATAACGTGGCCCGTGGCGACCTCTTCACCAAGGACGCGTGGCCAGAAAAAGTCCAGCCCAAGATGCTTCAAAGTTCAAGCTGTTCACGGAGCCACTTTGGAAACTGCAGGCCACTGCCATCAAAGGCTTGATGAAAGTTGCTGGTGCAGGCCTACTTAGATGTGACCTTAGACCTGGCAGCCAATGCGTTCTTTTGCCTCAAAGAGCAGGTCACCAGAACTTGGTGTGCAGCGTGCTCGACCTTTTAGCCAGCAGAAAGGCTGCGTCCAGGTGCCAAACTCTCGAGCACATCTACATGGACATCTATTTTGAATCATCTATTGAACCAGTTCGCATCTATTGGTCTATTGACTCTGCAGCTATTTTGTGTATGCTTGAGGCGGCTGGCGATGGAATCGCTGCCGCAGGCCGGGAAGTCTGAAAATTGCTGCATGCATCCGCCTGCGCAGCTTGTTTGTGAGCTGCCAGAGAATGACAGGTTACAATGCCTGGTGATGCTAGATCCGTCAAGGCAGCGTGCATCTCGCTCCGAGACGAAGATGCGAAAGTTAGGCCCGCATACGATGTTGCAGATGCCGTTGCACCACTACTGATCAGGAGGTGCCGCTCTGTCTTGGATCCTCTCAGCACTTGCGCACTCGCCAGGCAATTGGCTGCCCAAGCCTTGGGTCAGCTGGCCCTGAGAGGTGACCCTGAAGTGGTGGAGATGCTGCTGGAGAGACTGCAGGCATCCATTCGGCGATAAACATGGCTAAGCCGACAGCCTAGGGGCCTAAATTCTAGAGGTGTCCAGATAGATGGCTGCAGCCCTCCGAAATCAGGACCAGGACAAACTCACCCGTCGCCACGCGACTATTGCATTGGGCCACGTTGCAACACAGGACGGAGCCTCAACGCTTCTCACAGCCTATTTATGGTTTCGTTCACCATCACTCAACAAAGTGTAGCGTCGCATGTAAGGACGATGGCAAGGCCTGCGGAGTTTTAACCTTGGGACAGCCGAGCCTCATCGGGCATGTCACTTCAATTTGCAGGCCCTGGCGGTGCTTTCCGCACTCTCTGCAGACTCGGATGCCGGCCTCAGGCAAGATCCGTGGAAGTGAGTTGAAGCGACTGATGAAAGTCCCTTGGAGGCGAGTGGCCTCTACGGCACGGGAGGCGATCCTGTGCTGGACAGGTCCTGAAGGGTCCTGAGCCATCAGCTGAAAGAGATCTGAAATAGATGAAATGGCATGGTGTGTTCAAGCAGGCAGATGTAATTCACAGATGGCTTCAGGGCCAGCATAGCGTAGCTACTGTGCTTTGGCATTTGTCACTTGCTTGGAACTCTGAGAGTTTGGCCAAGCAAGCGATTTCAAGCGATATGCGGAGGTTTGAATATTGCCTTGTCCTTAGTTGTCCTTTCGGCAGCACCCCAAACAGGCGGCTCGATTGCTGAGAGGATTTGTGGCATCTGGCGACATAGAAAAGGAAACGGCGAACATGTGGCTTCACAATGCTCAAAGGGAGATGAGTCGAAGTGAGAGGAAGTGGTTAAGACTATTCCAGCCGGTGTAGTCACCGGGCGTGCCAACATCGCTGCAATCGCTATCAACCAGTTCATGGCAGGTTTTGCATGGCAACCCTCCTCATTTGCACGCTCACAAACTTCATAAAGCTGCTTGACTGAAGAAAGGATTCGGCTAAGGCAGCTAAGGTCCCAAGGTGTTCTCTCTGTGTCGGGCGACTCCAGGTTTCACATGAAGCTAGTCTTGGAAAATTACACGACGATCGAGAATTTGGAGCGTGAGGCTGTGCTGGGATTGTTCTTTGCAGAGCCGAATATGCAGAATGCGTGTAGCTTGCGACGTTCTGCAGGAGGGTGCAAAAAGCAAGTTTGATATTGGCCGCCGCAGGACGAGGGCAATATCTGCATCATCAAAGTGCCCCACGAACATTGCATAGCTGCTCTAGCTTTGGCTGCAGGAACTGGGAGCAGGTCTTTGGCCAAAATCCTTGGATGCTGCTGCCCAAGAACCCCCCAAGACCTGAGCATGACAAACACGACACAGTGAAATGAGACAGATTGTCCTGCTATGTCCTGCTCAGGTGGTGGCTTCCACTGCACACGCAGGTGCTGTGAGATTTTGCCAGGTTTTGCATTAAGCATCTTAGATTGAGTTTTGCGTGTTGGCTCATGTCGGCTATGCGAGGCCTCGCGGCCAATTGGCGACGGTGTCCGATGGCGGGTTCACTATACGAGAGTAATCGACGAGGCCAAGTATATTAGCTTTGCATTGTTTCGCACAGTATCTCCGCCAAGCATTGCGAACAGGATGAAGAGTTGCCTGCAGATGAGGAGGGCATGTCGCAAGCAAGCAGATTACTAAACCAGGTGGCCACGCAGCTCTGCGCTGGATACAGCATGCCAATGTGAATGGTAGTCGTAATACATTGATGCAGCTGCAGGGCAATGCCGGTTCCGCGAATCGATCTACCGGAAGGTAGTTGTCTGCAAGGCGCCGTGGGAGCACTCGCTGACATTTTCCTGACAGGGGTAGTCTTCTGTAGTCACTCTGGTGCTTTTGCTGCATCCGAGCCCCGCCAATGCAACTTGTAGCCATGAGGTGAGTGGACTGAATCGGAGCCTGGTAACGGAATCATGCTCTTCAACATCTCTCAATCCCTACGCCCACCCACACCTTCGAACCCTTGGCTTTTCATGTGTTCTTTGATGCAGAACCAACGAGGAAATGAATGAAAGGAAGAGAGTTGTCAGACATCCAAGCGTCCCCAAGCCTCAAGACATCCCAAGACAAAGATAATCCAACAGGTGTTTTGTACTTACAGCAAAACAGCAGAACACGTGTGTGTGTGTGTGTGTGTGTGTGTTTTTTTTTTTGGTGTGTGTGTGTGACACCCTGGCCTTCACCGTTGGCGTTTCTGTTGAAATTGCCTTTTGGGAAGGGATGTACTATCAAGGCATGACTGTAGCCAAGAAATAAAGAAGGTTTTCGCCAGGGGAAAACAACACCGGAAGGTGCAAAAGTACGTGAGTGGGCACGGATGGGCCGTGATGCGGCCGTCGTGAGCGGGCAGGAGATGAATGGACAAGAAAGCCTGAACAGCAGACGAACGAATTACGCCACTGACTCTGAAGTCCCGACAAGATGTGGCAAGTGTGGACAGCATCGCTCCTCAGACCAGACCTGGTTACCTGCTTAAAGAGGGTGCGGATACAAGGCATCCACCGCAGCCCACAGCAAGCCTCATCAGACAGGAAGTGTAGGAGAACCATGCACATGACGAGTCACGAGTGATGTCCTGCAAAGTGTCCCAGCAGGGTTGCTAGATGTTGCTAGTATGCTGCAGTGGAATCGTGCGGGCAATGAACAGGTTGACAGCGGAGCGGGCAGGAGCCTGAATTTGTTGCGCCGGTAATAGACCGGCCGCTCAATGGGCGCGATGCAGCCTTAGGGCCTTGTGATCATGCGGGAGTGCTAAACTGCTAAACTCTAAGGCAAGTCTTCTGTTTTGTCCAGAAGTTACAGTAAGTTTCACGAATTCAGCCTGCAGCATCGTTAACCCCTGCAGAAACCAGGGGATAGCATCGATTGCAGTCGGCTACTTCTAACTGTTGCTATGAAGTTGCCTGCGTCACATACATGTGGTTTTCCGGTCGACTGGTTTTCGTGTCCCAAGCGGAGTTGATCATGTTAGCGTTAGACCGCAGGCCGCGCCAAAAAGCAGGCTTGCGCACGTATAGTATGCTCGGCCAAGCTGTGGGATAATTCAGTGCAGATTTTCGAAAGGTGCTTGACAACCATGTTGTTCCGTAGCGTTCCCGAGATCTTGAACGTGTCTGTTGGGGATTGTTGTATCACGCAACGCGAACATTGGCAACAGCAGTATACTGCAGCTCTGCATGCTCTTGTGCGAGATGCCGCGAGAACACTCGGAGCACCCTCAGAACCAGTCTCAAAGTCGCCAGTGTATTTCTGCCACATGTATGCAGTGTTCTCAGTGTCCTCAGAAGCTTCGCCATGCACCTCATCGAGGTCGCCAGAGTGATCAGAGTGGCTTCTTGGGGACTGTTGGGACTCTGAATGCCATGGGAACGCTTAAAGCTCGATTCGGTTTGCCTCACTGCTGGAAATGTGTTGCAGAGGCCGATGCTTGGAGGGGCCGATCAAGCAGCACGCAGCTGCTCCGAGTTTTCGCCAGTACCCCATAGCACCATATAGCACCCCCACAACGGTAACCAACGGGCAAAAGAGTCAGACTTAAATAGCTAGCTGCGCTGCCACTGTGCGCCCTAGGCACCAGCTCTGGTGGATCTGCTCAGCAATCTGCGCAGAAGGAGGGGCCGTAGCGGGCTATACTGATAGACAAGTTCTCCACTTGTGGCGCCTCTCCATAGACCTGGCAACTCTTGGTAAACATACCGGCAGGTGCAAGATGTCCTTCGTCCTTCAGCCGTGACATCTCCAAGGCAAGCACCCGCTTCTTCCGCGAGCACAGAAGTCTGGCAACGTACTCGAAACATCTGGGAAACACCTTTGCTCAGCCAACCCGAAGGTCGTCAAGGCTTCAGCCCTTTCCGGATCAGTCCGCCATGACGGTTCACTCGGGGCAACATCTTGCAAGACAGGCCCCTCCACTCGTTTGGCTTGTTTGATTCTTCTGTGACACGTGTGCCAATGACCTGAAACGACATCAAGCTAGCAATAACAATAGGGCTTCGGATCCTTCTCAGGCAGTTGAACATAGAACTCATGGCTGGGGTGAAGCATTAATGGGGGCCCCGATGATTTGATTTGGCATTCGCCAGGACGAGCCTGTCAGCTCAGGCATACAGCTCGTGTGGGTTCATTGTGAGCTTCCGCGTTGCATCCGTTGCCAGTCTCCATGATATGAACTTGGACTCCACTGGGACTCTATGTTGTGACATATTTGGCGACTGAGAGGCAAAGGCGGCGAGGATGCGGCTGCCCAGTGCTTATGTTGAGCTTAGGGCTGCAGATGCAAGCGCGAATTCCTAGGAGCTGGAGAATGCTGGACTTTGAGCTCAAGCGAGTCTTTTTCAGGCGAATGCACGAAGCCATCTGCGCCACTGGTTGACTCAGCGAATCCAGACAGTCCTCATCTCAGTCTCAGTATGTCTCAATCGTCAAGAATGGCGGCACGTCTCTGACAGCGGCGGCAACTGAACATGGGACCTGAAACAGGTGCAGTTGGAGATCGCTCATTTTCAACATGCAAGGAGAGATGCAATGAGATGCAATGGTGCAGAGCACTCGGTTAAGAGAGCAAATATGGAGAGAAAAAGATACCAGTTGCGTATAGCTTGTGAATGGATGGCAGAGAGTGTTTCGAGAAGAGAGGGAGCTGAGAACGTCTGCAAGGAGGCTCCAGCGCTCTTCTTCTGCGAAGCCAGCGAAGCCCGACAAGCCGAAGGCTGGCAGAGAGGGCCCCAACAAGATATAACAAGGTCGGCTCAACATTTCACTTTTCTTTCTGTCTTTTTCTCTTGGCGCTTTTTTCCTAATTTCGAAAGATTCGAGAGAATCGAGGAAATCGAAGGAAGGCAGAAACGGCCCACTTTGACTATGACATCTATGTCTATGCTCTGACTTCTTTTCGGAACTGCAGGCTTACAGAACGGGCTCTTTGTCACCCCCGAGATCACCTCTCCACCCTGCGCCCCAAAGTGCGAGGCGGGAAGGCAACATCCGTGTGCCCGGAACACGAAGTACTGCATAGTCAAGAGGGTGAAGTGGGTGAAGTGCAGGAAGTTGGATCCGCGGAGGCCGGCAGGAAGAAACAAATGCGCAACGCGCCAGCCTGCTTGCAATGCTTGCGCAACGTGTCCGTGTGAAGTGTCTGTCCAGTGTACACTAGCTTTACATGCAAGTTACAATAAAAGCGTGTGCCGTGAGGACTTCGGGGGCCACCACAGCTGGGCACCAGGCATTGCAGCAGGAGTTGGTGTGTCACTGGTGTTCTTTGTCCGGGCCATCTACATAAAATGCAAGATGACCATGTGGGTTCCTAAACTATTCACATGGCAAAAGGGCACGCCTGTTGACAGGCTTCAGCCTCCCGGCCAGTTGTAGGCAGCTCAGTGTTGTTTGGGCATCATCCGCGTGCGCTCTTATATACATCGTTCATCGGCGTCGTGCTAAGGTCAAACAGACAGCACAAGCAGCGCAGGCAGCGGGTCATACCAAACGCGCAGTGCATGTTGGGCACCCAGACCTGAAGAAGCGCTGACATGATATGTTTTTCGTTGGATTTTCCCCCCTCCTGATCCAGGAAGCTGCTGTCAAGAGGTGTCGACCTCAGTCTATCCCGCGTAGTTGACTGCATGGCGATGAAAGCCGAATGTAGTTTGACTGCGGTCAGTGTTTGGGCAAGGCGGAGACGCACTTAAAAAGGCATCAGCATCGCCCTCTCTATCCTGACATCACCGTCTCATGATCACCACCTTCCTCGCCACCACCACCACCACCACCCTCATCTTCAGCACTTTCATCAACATTTCCAGCATCCGGGTTGGTGGTGATGGTACGCCATGGTGCTAGTGGGGTTAAGGGCTCCTGTCGAACCTCTCCCACTACAGGGCGCTTTCCTGGGCTGGGAAAATTCATCCGCATGGGCCTTCCAGCTTCAGAAACCTCTGGCTGTGCGAACGATTTGTCATGCGGTGGAAGGTCGTTGTGTTGTAAAAGAAAGATCAAACTAGCTGCCTTGGCCCCAAACCAGAACCGCCTCAACCAAAGATCGCGCAGACAAGAGAAACAAGACCAACATAACCGCAGGATGACAATCAAAAGGAGTTTATCTTTGAATCCAAAAAGTTTCATTCTTTCAGTCAACAAGCTTGCTCTTGTCAAGGAAGGAAGGAAGGAAGGAAGGAAGGAAGGAAGGAAGAGTGGAAGGAAGGAAGGAAGGATTAGACACTACAACCACCAATACTACTACTACTCCTACTACTACTACTACTACTACTACTACTACTACTACTACTACTACTACTAGTAACTACGACCACCACTACTACTACTACTACTACTACTACTACTATTACTACTACTAACAACTACTACTACCAACTACCACTACCACTACTACTACTACTACTACTGCTGCTACTACTACTACTACTACTACTACTACTACTAACAACAACAACAACTACAACTACTACTACTACTACTACTACTACTACTACGACTACTAGTACTACTAGTACTAGTACTACTACTACTACTACCACTACTACTGCTACTGCTACTGCTCCTGCTCCTGCTACTGCTACTGTTACTGCTACTGCTACCACAACTGCTGCTTACGACTACTACGACTTCTTCTACTACTACTACAACTACTAGTACTACAACTAGTACTACTAGTACTACTACTACTGCTACCAACTACTCTACTACTACTACTACTACTACTACTACTACTACTACTACTACTACTACTACTACTACTACTACTCC